GATCATATTATTCATAAAATAGCGTGCGTCAATCCCAAAATTGTCCTTTAAGATATCGCGAGATTCTAGTAACAACTCGGGCAACATTTACCACAGAAGACATCCAATGGGTAGTCTTTACCATTGAATCAACTTGCACATTGATTTGGTGACGAACAAAGAAATGTGACCTCGGGTTTGTGGCAAATAGGCCAAGACGTAGCACAGATGGGCTCCTTTGAGAATTCATTGACAATTAAACTCCAAAACAGAAAGGAGTTGACCATATACCGCTCATTCATGTGAAATCTTGGGTGGATTGTAATTGGTGACCTTATTTGTATTCAATCTGAGGACATAGTTAATAGGACACTATTTAATATCTCAGTCACAGACAAAAAGAGAATAACATATTCATTTTTTCAAGGCATCGGGATCCCATCTTTGCCTTACCTTATTTTACCTTTGGGTATTGTCAAAAGTAGGTATGTTTTGCGAATTTAGAAAAGGAAATAATTCAATTTTGTTTGCCCAATATTTTTCATCAGGGAGTTACTGAGTCAAATTTCAAAGACGTGCAAAAGTGATTGGTTTAAGCGAGACAGGCAGTCAAGACATCTGATGTTTTGACACGAGTTTTTTAATGTTACCCAACATTATATACATTGATAAATATACAGTTAAAGTGACACATAAGTAAAGAAAATCTCACAATCGTCCCATCATCTAAAAGGTATATTTGACGTGTATTTAGTCTATTAAACCATACGTCTTTTATTGGCCGGGGGTCACTTCAACTATGTGATCAAAGTGTCAAAATATGTACATTTTCACTGATATAATTGCTATAACTATCTGCTTAATGTCTTATTTGAAAGTAGTACCACTTTATTTTTTATTTAGTTTTTTATTGTACGATCAACTTCAATACATAAAGTGAATATCTAGACTGACATAGAATAATTTAGAAGGAGGTAAATATAATTTTTCAACAATATACGAGTGGTGCCAAATAAGTTATGGAAGCTTTTTACACAGACTGTTTTAATTAATCAATCTCTTTGATCTATTCGCAAGAGATGTATAATTTACTTATCTTTCAACAACTTGGAGATAAAATAAACAATGACTTTTAGTAAGCTTTATTTCCGTGAAAGGGGCACTGGTACCCAATGATACATAGTTTAATTTGTCTATTTCATAATCAAAGTTATTTTCATATTCCATTTTCCTATAAAAGAAAGTTAATCCAACACAATTGTAAAATCCATTCTTCAACATTGTGTCAAGCTGTAGTTGCCAAATTATTACATTTTAACTATTTCTCATAGAATTATATCCTTTGATTTATTTTTCATTTGGAATTGAATTCCGCCAAATGGCGAACACCGTCCACAAAAAAATTTGAGACTATAACAATATTTCACCGTTTGTTGCTGTCACATTACTTAAGAAGGCGTGTATTTTGGTATGTCAATGGAAACATCTTACCATTGGACCTTTTGTATGACTAACTTGTTCATTAGCTACGAGTAAGACAAAGCAGCGCGAATTTAAAGTGACTCTGCCTTTATGCTCCCCTCCCCTCCTTCTCCTTTTTACAAAAGACACTGGTTCAAATCGTTCTGTTTATATTCTTTTTCATATTACACCAGATTTTCCAATGCCTCCCCATCGTTTTCAAGCGTTTAAAATTCTAAATCAAATCATTCTATTTTAAACACCCCCATGAATTGATTCATAAACTTCGTGATCAAAAAGGGTTGTTTGTTTGTTTAAGAGTTAACTTATCGATTAGTCAGGTGGAGGGGTTGATACTAGGTGGTGAAATAGTCTTCCGTTATGGTATTCAGTAGGGATACCCTACTCACTGGCTGTAAGTATTCCCTATGCTACTCCTTTGCACAGTATATACATTCGTTTTTTATAATCATTTTTATAACTGTTTTCAAACGGCCATGAGAATGCTGTGATCTCGCATGATGGTACATACGTGTTAAAACTACATTTCCTATAGGGTCTTTGTACAATGAGGTGTGTTGGCCTACTCACATAGTTATTTTGCAGTTTTGACAATGAAACCACTGTATGAAAAAAAGAACCAAAAATGAACTGGTTAAACTTTTTTGTCGCATATTTCAACTACTCAAATTGTTTAATGATAAAGGAATAACATGGCTTATTTGAATCATGTTTACTCAGTTATTTTTATACACCAAGTCAAATACATATTTATAAACATGGAATGCTGTCTGACAATGAAAATAAATTCATACTTTAAATTACAGCTCCATTTAGTAATCCCGTCAATGTCTGTATGCGCACATTTAAAACAAATTGCCTTTTTTATTCAGTCTACTAACGCCAGAGATAAAATAATTGAGTACAGTACCTAACCAGGAAGATTATTTTCAATGTTGACTTTCATGATCATTGACTTATTTTATTCTGCTCCATCGATCGACAGCCCGAAGTGTCAGTCTGCGACTGGAGGGGGGGGGGTACAATTTTTCCGGTCGACTTCTGAGATTATACTTGTTCACCAGATGTACAACGGTCACCCTCATTGACAATTAAACACAACAACATATTATTTATATTTTACAAACTCAAAACAGAATATTTGTTTTTTATAAATGTGCAATATTTTTTGATCCAAAATAATATTTGCCGACAAATTTTTGCAAGAACAAAATTACACGTGGAGATCATGCGATCATCAATTTAACAAGTCTTTAAATATTTTGGGAATCTTTCTCAATTTTTCTAGAACATGTATTGTAATGACTCCAGTATGAATGAAATGTCCCTTGGTGCTGGTCCTGGATTGTGATATTGGTTCTCGATTGGAGGGTGGAGTTGGATGTTAGACATTGTTTTTTTTAACGTTAGATCATGGTTTTGGATATATACAGGGTGGGCCAAAAAAACGCCACTTTTTTTTTCAAGACACTACAACTTTTTTATTTTCCAACCTACATACCTCAAATTTTGCAGTTATATAGTGCCAAGGATTCTTAGCAATAATATAATGTAACAAGTCATTCAACTTGGATTATATTTGATCTAAAAGGGGAGTTCAATTGGTCCGCCACCCTAATTGATGATATATTTTAGATTTAGTTGCCTTGCTGATATTGCAGTATCAATGAAATGTTAGCTAAGTTTTTTCCAACCTGTCTAAATTCAAAGGTTTAGTTGAGCAATTTACTAGATTGGGTGCCTTCATACAATCTCTTGGAGACCTTCCCATACTCTATACTCACTGGAGTTTGCATCAGGGCTATTAGCTTGGCAATCATCAGGCCGTATCAGTTCAGGAACATTTTGCAAATTATGCTTATTTCTCACGAAAACCACATGTTTAAGTGAGACGCTGGTGATATATTTTATTCAAGTAAAACTGTATAATTTATGATCCATGGCTAGATAACAACCTCAAATTATGATTTAATATCAAAAATCTAAAAAGTTATAGCATTTTGAAAAAAAAGTGGCGTTTTTTGCCCACCCTGTATATAGGGTCTACATTTCTTATGACAGATTTACACCTACAGTTTGATTTTCTTGTTGGGTTTCTTTAAAGTTTTTAGTCACCTTTCCCTTTTGGTATTTGTGTTTATATATTTCATGGTCGACATCCATTGCAGAAATCATTAACGGGACAGTTTACTACAACAAACATAGTAGACTATAGTGGATTATAGAGTACAGTATATCCAAACATTTTCTTTGCCGACTTATCCTGCGGAATCTGTAATTTAACTTATTTTCATGAACATTTTATATCCCTAACTCTCTGCAATAAAATATAGTGATTAGGAAAAAGAGATAAATAATTTTAATATTTTGAAATATTTGCAGTATTTTGTTTTATAGGATATATTTTTTAGGTGAAACGCATCACATATGGTTATTCAGTGATCTCATTGACCCCACCCTATTCCTAGTTCACGATATAGTTATTATATCGATTCTTGGCCAGAATGAAAAATCATTATTCTAAGTTTCGGAAATTGAATCTCTGACTGACACATGTTTTTTTCGGAGCCCGCCTGGGTGTTTTGTATCTTGTCAAATTATAGGATAAGGAAGTAATAAATCTAAAAATGGGTGTAACAATTACAAGAAAAAGTAATCGTTTTAATAGGATTTAACAAGTACCCAAGTTATTCAACAGGTATTTTCTAGTATTTCCACTTCTTTATATTTGATCAGTGAAAGGCTTATTTCTTTCGTTGACATTCCACAACAGGTAAACTTCCAAAATACAGGTATATACCAATACTTATCAATTAATCCTTGGTTGACAGATTCATTTACAAGTGTATGTAGTATTCACTGGATTAAAGCACCCTGGATGCATGTTCTACAGTTTTATATTGTCAAAGACTGATGTCATCGGGGTGTGGTACTTAATATGCGATAAGTTTAGTAATGGCCGTTAGTTATCTGATTGATTTAGGATTCACCCCGGGATATTTCCCCTGATATGGGTATACGGTTGTTTCAAAGCTACTCTGGTACGGATATTTCCAATGTTGGTTATTTTAAGTTATTCTGATATGGTTTTAGTCTCATTTACACACAAGCCAAGAATTTGCCTACCCTGTCACAAGTCAAGTATGGCTTAATCCAGAGGGTCTATATACTTACGCCCTCGTGAGGAGTAGCCGGCTTAGTGAAATCCGCGTGTGTCTTTTTGCATACATGTCCTACATTAAATACTTCTGTAGAATATTTCAATAGACTGTCTTTTGAGTTAACTACGTCAACTCCACGTGCATGTAAACATTTATTTAAAATCAACATTTCTCCATTCTTTTTAAGATTCGTAGAGGTTTTTGAATTTTGTTTTATAATACACCTCAAAAACTAACATACGAAAAGCAGTTAACTAACATTAATCCTATAGTTTGGGCGTATGTTTTAGGTACAGCATCAGAGTGAAGAGTTCTTTAGAGGCGGTGATAAAACCACCGAGGAATAGAGAAGTTTAGGGAATACACCACCATTGAGCCATGGCACGGACAACACTAGTCATAATAGCATTAATCTCAGGAGTAATATATACATCAGCACAAATTACAAGTAAGTATACATTTTACTCACAGTGCTGATTACAAGTCAGTATACATTTTTGCAAGTTAAAAGTAAGCATACATTTAACACACCAGCACACGATACAAAAGTATACTTCTTGTCCATCAGCCCAAGTTACAAGTAAGTATACATGTAACACATCAGTATAAATTACAAGTAAGGATGCATTGTACACACCATCACATGGTACAAGTAGTTATATATTTTGCACATGAACACATGAGTACAAATCAGTATACATTTACACATTAGTACAAGTTACAAGTAAGTAAGTATATTTTGGGCATCAGTGCAGGTTACATACCAGTATACTTTTTGCACAATTTTACAAATAAGTATATGTTTCATATCACCACAGGTTACAAGTAGCGATACATCAATAGAATCAACTCTATAATTTACACATTAGCACGAGTTACAAGTAATTTTGTATACGTTTTGCATATCATTATAAGTTAGAAGGCAGTTAACATTTACACTCTAGCACAAGTTAAAATGAAGTGGCACATCAGCACAAGCCCAAATAAGAGATCAATACAAAAATCAATGTAGAATAATTCACTATAGTTAAGTCGCAGACACCCACTCTCTCCTTGTTGAATGGGAAATACTGACACACCCGGTGTAAAAGGGTAGGAGTTCCTATCAAATTATGGTCCTACTTTCCATTGATTTATATGGTGACATAAATACAACTCTTTCCCTCATTATCATATACGCAATCGGGGCCAGTAAGGGCCTTTAAGAAAGGGGACCATAATCCCTTGGGGACCATCATTTCTTTCACACCGGCATTATTTTAAAAATGTTCAAATACTACTGGTTGCAAATATTGTGCAATTGTATATCCAGTGGCATATTACTGAACTATATGTTAGTTATGTACGTTTACCGTATGCACAACAGCAGCGGTAAGCAACGGGTGAATTGTACACATAAGTACACGTGAAAAATAGGTTTCAAGTTTTAAGTGATTCACCCAAACAGGCTATATATGCTATATTCATAGCCCTGACACCTTAGTGGATAAAGAATACATTTTTCGGATTTATTTTCGGACTCCATTATTGGCAAATTTGTTTCAAAAAATGGAATGTTGAATTCCATTTCTAGTAAGCCTGGAAGTTTTGTGAGATTTGTGGAATAAAAGTACACTCCCCTCCATACGTTTTGCAACTGGAAGTTCATTCGATAGCGTATCAAAGACGGATGATGTTTGAATCTTAAATTCTGTAGTTTGTTCCTTACCCCCTATCACACCAAACTAGTTCTTACCCGTTCTTGCCAGTCCTACGAAAACGTCGTAAAACGGGCTCAATCTGGCTGTGGTCGGGAAATATGTCTGAAATAATTAGCTTCTTCGTTTTTAAACAGTCTGCAATACGTCCATCGCGTTCGCAGTTCGTTCAGGTCGCACCACGTCGGTGTGCAACGTCGTAGAACGCGTCCCTTAGTCTAAAAGGTCAACATGACCTGATAACAGAACGGTATGGTCGCATCGAATTTTGAATCGATTCAAAATTCTAAAATCACATTCCCGTCTGAGAATGTTCATTAAGTTCGTAAATAGACCTTAGAAAGTTGCAGCTACGTTCATTCCGTTCGCACACAGTTTAAAACCAGTTTTGAAGAACGCAGTGGCAACTTGTTTGGTGTGATAGCTATATTTTTGCTAACTCGTTCATAAGCATTGTTAAATACGTTCTTAATCAGTTTAAACCCGTTTGCAATTAGTTCTACCTCGTTCTCAACACGTCCTCAGACAGTTCAACTCGTTGTTAAAACGTCCCTAGTGGGATTGAAGTACGACGGTTCCGTTCGTAGTACGTCCAGCTCGTCGTTAGTACGTTGTCACTCGTTCTAATTGTAGAACGTGACGACCACGAGAACATTTTGAGCATTGTCTAAGTTCTAGAGGACCTACCCGTTCGAGTACGTTCGATTAAGTTTGTAAATAGATCCCAAACGGTTCTTAGTAGGTCCAGTCCGTTCGTACACAGTTGAAGCCCGTTTTCGAGAACGTAGTGAGAACTAGTTTGGTGTGATAGTAGGGTTAATTAACAGTTCGGAAATTTATTACAAATTTAATGAATTTTATTTATTCAACATAAACATTCAACATAAACAGGCTTTGTGTTACAACTATTTTAATCTATCCGCTTGGTGAAATCTTTAAAATACATGTTACATGAATCTAGACTTTTATTTTACTTATTTTAGGCACATCGTGCGGTTTCGAAGGGTTAACTGCACAATCCTCGAGTATTTGCAGTGGTTGGACTCAGGCTACCAACGACGATGCTGATTTGACTGTCGGGCAAGGTGGTACCCCTTCTGGCAACACAGGGCCCTCTGGACCGAGATCAGGAAGTAAGTATTAAAATGATATAAAGAATGAAATCCACGACGGTTTTAAAGACAAAGTAGGCTTTTAAATTTATTTATGTGTGATTAGTTAAATTATTTTAAAGTTCTCAAAGGTGTACAGTATTTAAGGAATAAAGACCGAGATTTTATGATTTATGGCGTAATATACACCGAACATTTTATTCTGTTTATTGTTAAAAGACCGAAATCGCGTAGCGATTGAGGTCTTTGGCAAAGACCAGAATAAAATTTGAGGTCGTATATTTGACATAAATCATTAAATCGAGGTATTTGCTACGATTCTAATATGATAACCAGACAAGAAACACAACTATTTGCATATATTAGAATTCAATATTTGCTTAATTTTGATTTTTTCATTAACCTTATACACGGGAAATTGAACGGTGGGTCAAGTGATATGCAATTTAACGCATTGTTTTTAACAATTTATCATTTTGGGAATATGTCCAATTGAACACCTATTTTAGAACATATACAACTATTCAAGTTATAGGAGTAATACAGGGTGACCCAAAAAAAATGCAACCCTCCATTTCTTCAATATTTTTCTTAAATGTAGGTAAATTGCTCTGAGATTTGGCACACAAGAACTTCATTCAATGTGGGATACTCTGGCAAAGTTTTAATAACGTTAGTCTTATATTGATCGAGTTATGGTTGTTTCAAAATATGCTCCATATATCGTCAATTTCGCTGAAAACAAACTTGCAATGTTCAAGGAAAACTGTTCATAACACGGATGCATTCTTCCCCATGGGTATGGCTCAAATTTTTGCAGGAATGCTTGTTGGAGTTCTGCAATTGCAGTAGGATTATTTTCATACACATTATCCTTTAAATAACCCCATATATAGAAGTCAGGGGCATTGAGATCAAGACTGTGGGATGACCATGGGTTCTCCATCCTAGGAGAGATAATCTCATCATAGAAATGACTAGTGAGCCAGGCTATGCTATGATAAGAAGTGTGAGGAGTAGCCCCATCCTTCTAGAATCACTGTTCTTGTCTATTGAAGCCTGTATGTCATTCTAGAACTGCCTAGAACTTCCTGGGAATGCCAATATTGCGCTGTGTGTTAATAGTAACAGTGTTGCCATTATCAACCTCAAACCAAATGGGGCTGATGATTTCATGTTTGGAAATTGGCAGCCCAAGCTGTGCATTTAACAGAATGAAGGGGCCTTTGAAGCACTTCATCTTGGATTTGTGATCCCAGAACACATTATTTCTTGAGTTTACATGTTCAGAAAGAAGGGAATGTGATTCTTCCGAAAACCTAACATTGGAAATGGACGACATTTGGAGCATATTTAGGAACGACCATAACTCTATCAATATAAGACTCTGATTATTGAAACTTTGCCAGAGGATCCCACATTGAATGAAGTCCGTGTGTGCCAAATTTCAGAGCAATTCACCTCCATTTAAGAAAAATATTGAAGAAATGGAGGGTTGCATTTTTTTGGGTCACCCTGTAACATTATTTTTGCACATTACATGGCCACTGGCACATACCTCTGCTGCAAAATTAGAGGTATGTGCATGGAAAAGTTGATTTGATTTTAAAATAGCCCACTTGTACAAATGTGGTCCCAGATGAAAACTAGTTCTGTACATATTTCAGGTAGATATGGCTACTTTGAGGCAACGGACGTCACAGAACCAAACAAACGTGCACGAATAATTTCACCAACTTTACTAGGAACTGGTTATACCTACACTGTTTCCTATGGTTACCATATGTTTGGGAGTCATATTGGACGCGTTCGAGTTTATACAAGACAAGGAGGATCTCTAAGTGAAGTTGTAGCGGCAAGACGCGAAGGTAGACCCTTTATAACTACTTACAAAAAAAACAGATTTTACTATTTATCTCATTCCGGGACTATTGTATTGCATTGTATTATGGACTGTATTGTATTGTCTCTTTATTTCCACCTATTTAAGAAGATTAACAAATTACTTAAAAGATGTATAACTTATATTAACTGTACTACTGCTTTTTAGCCCAGTTTCATTAAGTTATTTATTAAACAAAACTATCTTTCATTGAATGGATTTGTATTTATGACGTATCCACGTTAAGCTGGCAATGGAAATTTGTCATTTGTCATACTCCGATTTATTTCCTAGAAACTTTGTCATGAAAATATTTGTATTTAATATTACACAGTGTTATGATGCGATTTTAGGCCAGCAGCAGACAAGTAGCAATGCTGAATGGGGCTTGTCAACGGCGACCCTGCCTTCGATTAATGGAAATTTCGAGGTGGTCATTGACATTGAGAACGGCGTAAATCCAGACCAAGGTAATGACCACCCTTTCCAGGGAGATATCGCACTCGATGACATCAATATTCAAGGAAGCACCGGGGGCGGTGACACTGGCAGTGGAGGTTAGTGCTCGCATAATATATATAAAAATACAACAAATGATAAATGTAGATTAGAACTTGAATAATTTATTTGGAGGTACTATCTTAGCATTATTATAGACTAGGTAGCGTCATAAGATCTCAAATACACACAATGAATTTCCAAAATAGTAATGACATATTAATACAAAATTAAATGAGCTGAATAATCATTCAAATGTGAATTCATCAATACTTTCTTTTTCATCCCCAATGCACTCGTTCTATTTTAAAACGGTGAGTAAAATATCAAACTGCATTTACTGCATGAGCATAAACTCCATACGTCATAATACTGACGTGGTTTGTGATTATCTGTGTGTATATCACTGCTCTCTAATACCAAAGCTATTTGCTTTAATTCCAATGCAAAACTGTTCACTTATCAGTTACAATAGCATGCTGTTGTCTGCTTTCGGTACATCGTTTGCCCTTTTGATGCATCACGAAATCCAAATTATGGATTGTATGCAAAAAAATGACGAACGAAACGCTTCAAGCAAACACGAATGCAGATTTTGCTACCCCTTATCCCATAGTTTTCAAAAATTGTACTCATTAATTAACCAGCAGCCATACTGGCTGGATTATTTTCCATTGGAGTGGGACCTCGATGTCCTACACCAACTCTTCGGAAACAAAAAACGTTAAGAAAACATGTTTGCATTGGAAATGTTATCAAATCTGATTGTTTGAATCACGTGACGTGAGTATCTTGCATGGTTGCACTGAATAATTTTGTGTGATTATAACAAACTAATAATATGGGTAACGGAATGATACAATAATAATGAAATCATGGATGATTTCTTTAAAATGGGCACCATGTTTAATCACATAACCATTGCTAAGCTTTTGACAAATTTTGATTACCTATCATTTGAGACGATAATTTTTTTTGTATGACATTATGTTCTACAATTTTGATTTGTGTTCTCTAATTATATGATGTGTGCTTCTAATCCTGATACCTGATTATGGTAACATATGCTCTATATTTGGGTAATACCCAGGTCATTTAACCTAGGCCCTGGTATATTATGTTAATCTAATACCCAAGGCGAGGTCTTGATTGTAAAAGTCAAGCCTTTAGGTAAGATAAGTAATAGAGTACTACGCATGCGCATATGGTATCATAACTCTTTGTGTCAGTTATGTATATTAAGTGGCTTAACGTGACACGTTTAGTTTTGGCACTTGTATTTTAATTTTCCACGTATGATGCACTGCACGAAAGTTAAATTGTTGTTGTCTCAATTGACACTGATCATCCTAAATGAATACTGACCTGACAAGTTCACCGAGGAACATCGTAAAATCCCTACACTTGCGACCTGCACTAAAAAGCGTTCTATAGTAGGGATTTTACGAAATTCTTACACGGGGCGTCACATTTATAAGCTTTTTCATAATTTTCACTTGCACAGTATGACAAAATTTTACCGATTGTTTATTTCAAACACAATGCACATATCTAAAAACGACAATTCTGCTACTCTGCAACTACTTTCTGAAAAGATACATGTAGCTCAGAAGTAAAAATGAAATCTTCTTTTTATTGATAATCTTCTGTTGAGAACGATCATGGATCACAAAACAGTTTACTAATTAAGTTTAAAAAACGTTAATGGATACCCGAATCGAATCCAATACACTACATTCGAAGAGTTGCTTGAGAATCAAATCTGATAAAGTTAACTTCATTGCTTTGGCCGGAAATGCTAGAATTGTCGTTTATTGCACAAATTCTCTTCTTTCCAATTGTGTGTTCTTTCTCTTTGTTCTTGATGAGCTCACTGCACCCATGGATAAGTGTCCTCATTTTTAAAGTCTTTATTTGATATAATCATCGGAAGAATAAAACGTGTATAATGTCACAATAAAAACAATTGGGAGGGGGACAATAAAGATATTGGAAACTATAGGTCAACATATCACGACATAGCATTCGTGTATTGAGTACTCATATTGTTAAAAGCAATATCTAAGCGTGGATTTCATTTTGAAATGGATACTTCATTTGATTGACCAGCTAGCCTTTACTATCTTTTCCAGCTTTAGGAGATTGTGTTGGCGGTACCGCTGATATTGGTTTTGTGGTTGACTTCTCTGGAAGTTTGGATGACACTCAGCTTCAATCAGTGTTAGATTTCTGCAAGGAACTGATACAGTTATTGGAGATAGGAGAAGACAATGTTCGCGTTGGATTCATTTCTTTCACAAACGAAGTAATCACACGATTTAGGATGAACGAGATGTACGAAAAATCTGAAATTTTGGCTAAAATTGATCCTTTGCTGGCAAACAGAGGTATGCTACAAAACTATCCCTAAATGTTCATGAACTATTTCAGACGCCAACTTTAAATAACTAATTATGCCTGTCCATTGATTCGAAAATGGCCTTTTTTCATCCATCCAAAATATCTTCTTTTATATCAAGTATAAAGGCAATAGGTTTTAGGAACCATATAGATATAGCGATTGATTTTGTAGGAATGCACATTTTAGACCGGGCCGATTTTAGAAAACCACACAAATATATTGTAACGGGTGGCCCAAAAATCCAACCCTCCATTTCGTGAAAAACTTTTTTTTAATGTAACAGATATCTTAATTATTTTTCATTTACAGATAGTACACTCAATGTTGGATAATGTTATTTTCAAAATATGGTGTAGACAAAAAGTCAATGCTGGCCAAATTTATGGTGCAATCAATCTCCATTTAAGAAAATTTTTGAAGAAATGGATGATTACATTTTTGTCATCCTGTATCCTAATTCTATTTCAATCTATCTCCATTACAGGCAATAGAGGATCAACTAATCTGGCGGGAGGTTTGAACCAATTGATAGACGACCTCTTTGCTCCTGGAAATGGAGAGAGAGATGGGGTCATTGATATAGGTATGTATTTGGTTAACTATTGAAATGAAAGACCATGGGACACTGAGGGCATGTCTTCTGTAATTCTGTTACTGTCGCCATTGCCGTTTTCTCCCAAAATGTCAAAATTTTGGCAAAGAACACTTGTAAAGAACATATAAGAATATGGGGTCAGGAGTTGAATATTTCATTATTTGTTTAATTTATAATTTGTTTTTACAAGGCTCTGTGTTGATAGGAAATATCAAAACAAATTTTATTTTTGACGAGTCCAAAATAAATTCTTATCACTCTACGTATTCTGTAATAATCATCACACCTTTCTGTGTCGCTATCAACGTGTTCAAATTTTTTAACACTAGTTTGCTCATCTCATCTGATGGCATGAGTTACAAGTTTAATAAAGTATGATGCATGGCCAATGTTTGATATATTTGGCATTGTGATATTTCGGATAGAATTTTAGTATCATGGAGCACTAAACTAATACAAAATACACAACATCACGGTATCACAACTGAAAAGAAATGAGCTGACTGGACTGAATATGATGCATTCAATATTTCTAGGTATCTGTATAACTGATGGAAAAAGTTCCTCAGATTTCCTGGGCGCGCTACCAGCTGCTATTCAAAAGATCAAGAATAGAAGTGGAATGATTCAATTTGGAATCGGAGTCAAAAATGCTGACTTCGATGAAGCCGAATTGAGATCTATTGTCACATCTGATGCTTACTATTTTGATGTCGAGGACACTGCCAGCCTTTCGGAAATCACGGCAGAGGTTGTGCAGAAAACGTGTAAAAGTAAGACAGATTTGAGCCAAGGCAATATTCAAGATTCAGTTTTGCAAAACATCATATCACCATGAGCAACTAATGAATCTAGCCAATATATTTATACACAGTATAAGTAATTAACAAATGTGGACAAACGAACTACGTCAGATCACTGGAAGCTTTTCTTGGAACTGTAATATTCCATAAGTAAACTCTCCATGTCCCATGTACTGTAAAAGAGAATTTGAAAGGGAATATTTGAAAGAGAATACTGATAAACAACAAAATAAACCTCTGGAATAAAATAATGCTGGCTTCTTTTTTACTTTTGTATGATAACTTTTTGTACCTAATGAATTGTTTAAAGTTATTTTTATGAAACATACATACAGTTCTCAGTTGTCGTCGTCAGTTTTTTTATTTAGATGACCATCATTATATCAGCATCTTTCGAATGCAGAGCTGCAGACATCATTTACTTTGTTGCTTCCTTGTTCGGTCTTAAGGAAGAATGAAGGATATCTATGACTCTGCTTTCAAATGTTACATAACAGAGAATTGGAAGCTGAGCAGTATATAACAGAATTATATTCCTTTGTACTCTTTGTTAAGGTACATGTGGCGAGATTGCCGACATCGTATTTATTGTGGATGAATCGGGTAGTATCGATAACGAAAGTTTCCTTCAAATGCGAAGTTTCTTGTCCACCGTTGTTAGCCGATTCAATATTGGAGAAGAACTGGTCCGTATTGGAATAATGACATTCTCTAACCAAGAGAACATACGAGCAAGGGTTAATTTGAATGAATACGTGGCCAGTGATATACAGGATACCATAAGGACCTGGATTAGGGGAGATCTCGCTGCCACTGCTATCTCAGATGCCTTGGAATTTGCTCTGAATACGATGTTTCAGGAAGCCAATGGAGATAGGCCCAATGCCCCTAATCTAAGTGAGTACAACATTTAAAGAAATTGAGTGATGAATTGATTTTTAATTGTTCATTTATGAGGGTAACTGTATACGTATTAATAAATGCTTCAATAATAGATCAAGTAATACACATACATGTAGGATCTAGTTCAGTTGAAGTTGTAACGCGATGCTCGTGCTTCCTACAATTATACATTCATTGTATAGTCGAGAACCTTTCTCAACATCTCTGGGATATAATTGGATAACGTAGAGCTAGAATCAATTAGACCCCTGTAATAGCCATCAAAACCGAGCTTATATCTATATAATTGTTTCCAGTTATTTTTATCACTGATGGCGAGTCAAACCCGAAAGAAGATGCAAGGCTCCAGCGAGTGACTGATGACGTGCGTGCGCGGGGCATAACTGTGTTTGCTATTGGTGTTGGTACTGAGGTAGGCACTATTAGACAATAAAATAAAATAATAAACACCCTAAATCATCATCTTACAAGAGAAAATGCTGATTTCTGCATTTACTTTGTTGGTTCCATTGCTGACCTTATTTTACTTTTGTATTCCTTCAATGGCATGGTGAAATTAGTATCTGGTATCTGAAATGATATTTAGAATGACATGAGTGAAGAGTGAAAGCTGGGATAAAGTTTTTTGAAAAGTACATTGATCCGGTGTGAAAGAAATGATGGTCCCCAAGGGATTATGGTCCCCTTTCTTAACGGCCCTTACTGGACCCGATTGCGTATATGATAATGAGGGAAAGAGTTGTATTTATGTCACCATACTGCACCACTGGATAACGTTAGTCTAGAAACTCGCTAATCCCAGCGTCCTATGCATTGCCTTGATTAGTAGATTTTAGAAATCTCTTTATCCAGTTCTGCCTATGAGATTAGCTGGGATTTGAATTATTGATCAGATGTGTTAGATTCGGGTGAGCGAATATATGCATTTACATAGTCAAAATAAAAATGATAGAATTTTTTAGTCCGACTGTATGTGACCATTAATGTGTATACACTATATTTGTTCAGATCAATGAAGGTGAACTTCGACTTATGGCTACAGACCCCGATAGAGATCATTTATTCAATGTAACAAATTTCGAGAGTTTGAACCAGATTTCTCAAGCTCTAGTAGAGGCTTCGTGTGAAACTAGTAAGTAGAAACGTTCTATCCCATAGTTACCTCATTAATATTTAATATAGTTGTGATCGATCGTAATGAGAAATATAATCTTTTTCCGGCTCTTGCTTCGTTACATCATGTGGTTTCAAGCCTCGTAAAAGCTTGGTTCCCTTTAGACTAAAAGCAGTGCACAGTTCTCAATTTCTAAAGGTTGTTCGAGCTACAAGTGAATATATAAAAAGGAAGCGATCAGACTACCAGACTGGTTTTAGTTCAAATGTTGAAATTTAAGTAATTATGGACAATCAATATATAATTCTCGTTTGGCTTTTTAATGGTAAACTTTGACGAGTGGATTATTTTGTGTTTCAGCCTGCCCTGGACCAGCTGATGTAGCCCTTCTAGTTGATTTATCAGGAAGTATCGGCCAGACTGATTTCGAAACACTTAAAACTTTCCTGAAAGATTTAGTGAAGAAGTTTACTGTTGGACCAAATAACAATCAATTTGCAGGTAAATGTTAATCCAGGGAATGAAAAAAGTTGGTTAGCGCTTGAACACCTTGAAAAGATCTTTAATGTCCACAGTACTTTGGTCTCTTTCTCCAACATTCATTCGGATAGATGAAACGTCTGATACACATCGGACATAGCAGTCAAGTCAAGTAACTAATTCAACATTCGATATTCGTATGTTCATCAATATTTATTACTAAGAATGGTGCCACATTTTAAGTAAACCTCTTGTTGATTATTTTCAGTATACCTATCAGCAAACGTGTAAATGATAATTTTGATGTTCTGTTAAATATTGTTGAAGCCACCAAATTTCTGAATTTCACTATGTCCTTGTTACCCCTTCTTCAAGAGATGTATGTTATTTGTCATTTTTCATTATGAACCAACCATATCTTTTCTTGTTTACATATCGAATGATCTTTCTGTTTTCGAATATTGACAGATGGTACTGCATTTATTTTTCATGATATGGAGCAAACAAATACGTGTTGATTTACACTGTAATATCCTACATACTCAAGAAAATCCATGTTTTCAAATGGATTCATCCTTGTCAAAGAACGTAAATGAGGCAATGCCGTTTGAAAAACTAACAGCATGTTTCAAGTTCTTACATATGTTGGTTAAAACAAATATTTTGAAAGTTGTAATTTCGAATGTAATCTCCTACTCAATGAAAATTGTTGATATTTTCTGAATTTTTTCTTTCGGAATACACTGCACATTGCTGAATCACAGAACCTCTTGTTCGAGTTGCACGAAAAGTGTATTATTAATACTTGGCGTCGTTCGAATATTTGGATGTGATAGACGTTTTCAGTGATCTCCTACCACTGTTACGTCCAACTTAAATCTTGAAAGCCAAATATGATAGTCACGAATTGATATTTAAGTCACCCGTTGATGCATACATCATATGTGTACATTAACTGTCGAATAAATGCTAACTTACATTTATATGATTATCCACAGTTTGACTCAAATCATCAATGCTCGAAACGGTTTATCATATAACCTGGTGAGTTTAATGTTTCATTTTAATTTATAGGATTTGAGTATGATTTTAGTTGAGGCTTAAACAAAGAATTTTTCAAGAATCCTCCCTCAAAGCAGAGACATATAAAACATAAAAATAATAGCGGGTAGTTTGAATTTCTAAATTCAAAAACATATCGCCTCGTTGAGAGGTGCATACAGATTTTGGCGATCTATCATGATAAAAGGCTAAATATTGTGAAAAACACGAGTTGACAGGCTGGCATTTGGAATTGAAATTTCCTACAGAATTGTCCACTCATGTTTAAAAGTCATGTAAATGAGGTTGAACTTTAAACATCGTCCCAGTTACTGTCTATTTAGCATGGGATCACTCAGAGAAATATTATTAATGACTTAAATCGTTAACAGTTATGTTGTATTCCAAGAAACTTATCAATTTAAAAATGCAAAATGTTCAATTTTGTTTTTCAATTATAAAAAAATGGCACCTGTGGAGAACAACGTTTGCAAAATTATTTAAAACGGAGATATTTACTTAATAATATGTAACATTCGTTGGCATGAGTCAGCGAGTAAAAAAGAAGAACATGCTTTTGATTCTATATCTTGTTCCTGGTGCCAGCGGTATATCTTAACGTACGTTTGTCATCCCGAACTCAAACATTTCGAATACTTATTTCGCGAACACTTTGTTGAGAATGGATTCTAGATGTACTCAAAATTAATACGTTAAAATGTGTATTATCATCTTAATAACTACCTCACAAATTATTTTGGAAATCAAAGATGTACGATTTTTTGAGATTTTTATTTTAGAATGTTGACTTAGTTACTTGACTTGACTGATAGATGAAAATAAATGTGTGTTAATTTCTCTTTTGGTCATGAGAATGCAAGCTAAGGGTCCTGGAACACATCTGGACAATTCACTTTAACTACCTTCATATTGCCATTTCAAATTTCAGCTATATCATTCAATGACAATACAAACATTGACTTCTACCTTGATTCATACTCAAATGTTGACGATGTTGTGAATGCGATTGAAGCACTGCAGTATACAGGAGGTGCAACAAATACGCAAGATGCTCTTCGTAGAGCCAGGTATGGATGAGAAAATAGTTTAATATTTTGAGATGGCCGTCGCTGTACCTTCTACAGTTTGGACCATAAATAAATGAGTAGTCAATGTTCTATCACCATTTCCAAACCTTGTGGTTTGAAAGCCCATAGTTTCAATATTGTCTAGATACATGTTCTCTAAATCTTAATAAATCTTATTAATATTTTATGCATTTTGACTGCAGACGCACCTTAATATTTTTAGTGTGCCACTGATATTAAAGTGTACGTCTTGACAATAAATAAATAAATAATAAAATATCCTATTTAAAATCACGTTAGATTCTAAAAACTACAGATTTTCCTGGACCTACTATACTCCTCGATAATATGTCTATATAAAGTTCTATAACCCTACTATCACACCAAACTAGTTCTCACTACGTTCTCGAAAACGGTCTTCAACTGTGTACGAACGGACTGGACGTACTTAGAACCGTTTGGGGTCTATTTACAAACTTCATCGAACGTACTCGAACGGGTAGGTCCTCTAGAACTTAGAACATGCTCAAAATGTTCTCGTGGTCGTCACGTTCTACAATTAGAACGAGTGACAACGTACTAACGACGAGCTGGACGTACTTCGAACGGAACCGTCGTACTTTAATCCTACTAGGGACGTTTTTACAACGAGTTGAACTGTCTGAGGACGTATTGAGACCGAGGCAGAACTAATTGCAAACGGGTTTAAACTGAGTAAGAACGTATTAAAGACTACTTATGAACGAGTTAGCAAAAATATAGCTATCACACCAAACAAGTTGCCACTGCGTTCTTCAAAACTGGTTTTAAACTGTGTGCGAACGGAATGAACGTAGCTGCAACTTTCTAAAGTCTATTTACGAACTTCATGAACGTTCTCTGACGGGAAGGTGATTCTAGAATTTTGAATCGATTCAAAATTCGATGGCGACCATACCGTTCTGTAATCAGGTCATGATGACCTTCTAGACGAAGGGACGCGTTATACGACGTTGCACACCGATCGTGGTACGACCTGAACAAACTGCGAATGAGATGGACGTATTGAAGACTGTTTATGAACGAAGTAGCTAATTATTTTAGAGATATTTCCCGACCACAGCCAGATTGGGCCCGTTTTACGACGTTTTCGAAGGACTGGCAAGAACGGGTAAGAACTAGTTTGGTGTGATAGGGGGGTCACATTAAAAATGTCTAGGTGGAGTGCCAGGAACAGGTTTATGTTTGGTGCTTTATCTACAAATACTTACAACATACTTTGAAGAAACTACATGTATACAAACTAAACTTAAAACAAACGTCCCGGTCAATTATATCTCCTACTAATCTATTCAATGCAAACGTATGTCAAAGAACAACCTAATACATTTGAATGATTTATTAAGGACTGAGGTACTTATCAGCTCAAGGGGGGCTCGTATTACTGTTCCAAAGGTAGTGATCGTTGTGACTGATGGTGTATCCACGGTACGATATGACCGCACGCTGCCCGAGGCCCTTGAACTCAGAATCAGTGGAGCAACTATATTTTCCATTGGAATCGGTAAAGAGGTAAGATATATGACAGATCTACAAGAAGGCCCAAAAGACGCCACTTTTTTAGAAGTGACATTACCTTTTTGTAACTTCTTAGCTTAAATACATGACATAATTTTGCAGCTATATAGACAAGTGGGCTAGTGATCTCAGGAATAAACCATTTCATGAAAAAATAAAACAGTTCAGTTGCGTTACTTTAAAAAAGCACTTTGTAGAGCCGCCCTGTATTTCGTATGATCTACAAATTATACTGACAAGACAATATAATATTTTCGTTATCACATGTGTTCTGACGATACTGCTTAATTTTAGACAACGATGCAGGAACTCAATGGAATTGCTACCGATGAGGATAATGACCATGTGTTTACGGTGAACTCTTTCAATGACCTTGCCCCCATACAAGACAACATAGTTCGGGCTATATGCAACGGTATGGAATAATTTAAATTCATATTTTCTAGGTAACAGGTTTATTATTGCTTCTAGTTTATTAAAGTGCCATTAACTCCCTATTTCATTTTGTGACGTCTTTCTCAGTATTCATTAAGACATAGTCTCGATCATTTACTATTGGTGGTGATGCGCCCTTACTACAGACAAAACAGTATTTTATAAAAAAAAAAAAAAGGTTTACAACTACATGATAAATCTACATACGATACGTTATATTGTAGCACTTGTTTAAACATGTTTATTTCTTTTTTGATTATTATTATTATTAGATTTATTTTCCCTCCATTGATTGGAGATAATATAATAATTATATATTACAGTATTATTGGATGCGTATCAAAATATAAACAATAGACAAAATAGAACTCTAATAAACACCAATAACATTATAAGTAAGATCTGAGAATTGATAAGAGTAGGTATAATACACAAATATGAATATAAGCTATGAAATACTTGGAACCGCATACATCTTCCCCAAGGTCGATGTTGCATGACCAGGTGGTGATTCTTGCTACGTGTTAAAAAATTATATGCAATTCATTGAGCTATACATGATTTGACAAAATAAAAATTTCCCTTATGAAAATACACCTGTATTCTATGATAACTGACGTTCCGTTGGTCACACACGGTGCCCATCACACACTCATCGTAGGGGGGCGGCCTGTTTATATATGCCTATTAACTTATACTAGGCCATAGCTATCCCAAGTAAATCTAATTGACTCCAATCCGGGCGAGGTACATGTTCTGTATAATAGTGCTCACACGTTTAAGTCCACTTTCGTTAATACAGTTGTCTCCCCCGAAGAGAGCTCGCAGTTTCATTGAATTTGACATTGCACTAATGTTTGGTACTCCATCTAGAATTGTATTTAATGTGCCCCTATTGTGAAGTCTACATTTTAAGACAAAGTGTTCAAGCGTTTCAATTTCCTCATAGCAGCTCTCACAAAACCTTGATATAAATTTTAATTCGAATAAAAAATCGTACTTTGATATTGTTTTCTCTATTTTTGAATAGTTCATGAATATTGCTCATTTTTAATAGACGTCGACGAGTGCCGCGTGAATCCATGCTTGAACGGAGGTACCTGCTACGATAGACTAGGAGCGTACATTTGCGAATGCCCATCAGGATTCTCTGGAAAACGATGCCAGAGAGGTAAAGAATATCTTCTAATCTCAATTTCTTATTTGTATTAGTGTTTTATTGTACAGTATTAGAGCCCGGACCCCCAAAGGGTAGCCTGTTTAGATTTAAAACATCTTTCCGAATGTATGCAATTTATGAAAAAGATGATTTAACTCTGTATTTTAAGCTTGGTTTAAAAATCAATTTGGACTAACACATTTCTGATTGTTTATTATCTGTTTACAGGTTGTGCCATCAATGCTGATATTGCGTTTGCAGTGGACAGCTCTGGTAGTCTCAGCCAAAAAGACTTTGAAACTACGCTTAAGTTTGTCCATAATGTCGTTGATGAGTTGAATATCAACAACGGAGCATCACGAGTTGCGTTGATGACATTCGCGAGCCAGGCAACAGTTATGTTCGACTTGAACGACTTCAGTAGAAAGGCTGATGTTCTTGGAGCAATAGCGAGGGTACAATACACTGCCGGAGCTACTGACACAGCAAGTGCTTTGCAGTTGCTCCGGTTAAGTGTGTTCCAATCCCAGAATGGGGATAGGGGATCCAGTCCTAATGTCGCAATTATTATTACTGATGGTAAGTTTCTTCTTCTTTATATCACTGAAAATGAAAAATGAAATATAGAATATGAAACACATTGAGTTTGAACAATAAACTGGAGTCAAAGGTAAGGTGGATTGTGATTGGATTCTTTAATTATTATATTTACATGAATTAGTACAGTGAGTTGGGTTCAGCCAGAGAAACGGGAGAAACGGATCTCTATGCGGCAAGACTTGATGAGACCTTTTAGTCGTTACCCAATTGAGTTTCACGATGTCCCATGTAATATTTTTCCTCTTTTAAAATCTAACGAGATCCCGACATATCCCAATGGTGAACGTTGCATTTTATCATATATGTGTTTCTCTATTCTCTATTTCTCTAAAACTGAATATAGGAATTCAAATTGGTTTCAATAACAATAGACGTATGTTACATAACATGAATGGACAGATTTATAATTCGGACTTGTCATGCACGACATATTTTTGTTTGCAGGAAAATCCAATGTAAATAAAGAGGACACCTTACCCCAGGCTCGAACTGCGAGAGCCGCGGGTATTCACATCTTTGCTATAGGTGTTACTAGTGGTGCAAATAAGCCAGAGCTTCGCGGAATTGCAAATGATCCAGATAGTGCCAATGTGTTCTTTGTCGACCAGTTCAGTGATTTGTCGGGCCTTATAAATAACATAGCTGATCCTATTTGCAACGGTTGGTACTTCTTATTTAATTCCCAGTTGACTTTTGCATATCGCTCTTTTTCAAAAGTTGGTAACTTAGAAATATTCCCCATGCTGTTGTTCAAACCCTTATTTAACTCAAAGATACTGGAAATACAATCAGCAGGAAATGCAGTTTTTTAAAGTTATTGGGATTCAGCTATAATTTTGAGGACTTTAAAAATGTGTCAAATGACTTCTAGTGCAGTCAGAATGTGGGTTTCAGCGTGCGTTCAGAGGGATTTTATGGGACATAATTTTTCATGTTACTACTATGATTATACATATTTGTATGGATTATTAGATCTTAGTTTTTCAGCTTTTAGATTTTGTGGCCATTTTACCCCCCATGGGCTAAAATTTGGACCCCTACTATATAATTGGGCAAAAACTCAAAAAATACTCAGTGGAATGTTTCCAAATTACTAAGTTATATTGGTATAGGCTAACTGAATGTATGATAAAAAATTCATGTCACATGGTTAACTGGTTACCATGGAAATGGATAAAACATGCCCTTCGGGTGTCAATTTTCAGGCCAATTTTTCAGGACTGACAGAGTCATTTCATGCATATTTTGTCACCAATGTGTTAGGAAGGGTTAAAATGTCAATAGAAAACTTCTATAATATATAAGCAACAATTGTATGTAAAGATCAGTCCACAAAACCTCAGATTTTGGCCTTGTATTGGTCCATGACTTATACAGGGGTCTATTTCATAGACTCGAGCTCCCACATTGGATGGATGCTATAACTTTTGAAATAATGGAGATACAGGTCTCATGTTTTCAGATCTTCATAAATGGTTAGTTTTAAGTATTTTATTTTACTTTGGGAGCTGACATGTGATGGGTTGCCATGGTAACCAGGGTTTTAGGGAAATTCCGACCCCCACATTGGATGGATGCTATAACTTTTGAAATAAGGGAGATACAGGTCTCATTTCTTCAGATCTTCAGATCTTCATAAATGGTTGGATTTAAGTATTTTAATATACATTTGGAGCTGGTGTATGATTGGTTGCCATGGTAACCAGGGTTTTAAGGAAATCCTGACCCCGACATTGGATGGATGTTATAACTTTTGAAATAAGGGAGATTCATGTCTCATTTTTTCAGATTTTTGACAATGATTGATTTAAAGTATTGATTTAGACTTTGGGAGCTGAAATTTGATTGGTTACCATGGAAATCAGGGTTTTGTTGAAATTCAGACCTCCACAATTGATGAGCACTATAACTCTTAAATACAGCCAGATAAGATAATCTTTTCAGATGTAAGATAATAATAATATGTGTGTATTGTATTAGACTTTGGAAGCTAGGATTTATTTGTCTGCCATGGTAACCATGTTTCATTGTCATGGTAACTGCTGTTTTCGTTTTCAGATTCACCTTTATTCTAGATAGGTCAATACATGACATGAAATACCAAATTGCTCAAAGTTACCATTTTATTCTTAATTTTGTTTTTTTTCTATTTTATATGATTTACATGCTCATGACTCAATAATACTAGAGATGCAAACATTGTTTGGCTCATAAAATATCAAATACTAGTGAACAATACATGTATGTCTTACAATATTGCCTTATTCCATACGACTAGTTCTTACAAAAGTTCTGACTCCCTAATTTGTTCATTTGAACTCATCATTACTGTTTTCATTTAGCACAATTTCCGCTTAACATCAATTTCTGTTGGAATGAAGGATTGTTTTGACCATTCTGGAGATAAGGAACCTCAGGGGATATAGTCCATTCATGCAGTATTGGACTTGGCAGAATGGGTTAAGACTGGTCCCTGTGGGTTCACTGTATATAAAATTGGCTGGGGTCCAAGGCTGAACCCTCAGATATCAATATGTTCCCATCCAATCTGTCAAATTTGAATGTGTTCCGATATCAACCAAAATAATGCCCAAAAGCCATACCAAATGCCCAAATATATGACCAGTGCCATACCAAATATCCAGATATGAAAACATGGCCATTCAAAATTTCTAATGCCTCGAGAAGAAGGCAGATCATTGAGGAAAACAACCAAAAACAACCTCACATTAAGGATATACTAGATCAATGCCATACATGTGCAACAAGTGAGGGGCAACATATTTTTCACAACCATTCCCAAATCCGACCATTGCTATACCTCTCAAGTCATAATTTGGAGAGCATTCTCTTACCAGATCCTAAAATTTGGGTCCATTGCCATATCAAATGTCAAAAGTAACCCACCTGAGCTGAGGATCCCCTCAAGGTTTATATACAGTGAACTCCTGGGAAACGGGGGGGGGTAATGTTTCCACTTCCAAATATAAGTTTTATCATCCATCCTCTTCAAATGTTATAATGAGCAATCATTACAAGATGGAAGAGTTCATCATTTAATTCATTGCATTATATTAGCTGCTATGAAAGCAGTCAAGGACCAATCTTGAAAGATGGGAAGAGTTGAAATGTCAACACCTCCATAAGTGAGGGCAGGACTGTTCTGTTTTGGAGAATATCTTATGTGAAACAGCTCATATTGTTATCTATTGATGTAAGTTCCAAATATATTTTTGTTATTCTGCTGTACTTTTACTGGTGAACAATTCAACTTTGGATTTTATTGTGTCAGGAATTTCTATATTGATTCCTATTATGAAGAAAATAACCTTAAGAACCTCAACTGATGTGAACTCTGTCCCATTAGATGTCAGAAGCTCAACCCAACCCCTGTAGCTGCAAACCTAGGTCCTGTGTGAAGCTATATTAGCCTTCAATGCGTTTACTGGATCAGATTCCTCCAGTGCAGAAATACAACAAAACAGCAGAAATAGAAAAATAACTGCCACTAATAGATTACGAGATGAGCTGTTTCCCATGAGATACAGAAAAAAACAGAACAGTGCTGCCCTCACTTATGAAGGTGTTGACATTTTCTTTCACATTTGAAGAGGGTAAATTATCAAACCTATGTATGGACACATTCCCACCAGCCTAAACCCAGCTCTACCATTATGCCCAACACTGCATGAATGAACTGTGAATTCCCCGACGAATCTTTAACACAAGAATGGTCAAAAGAATCCTTCTTTCCCATAGAAATTGTTGATATTTTTAATTAAGAGGCAATTGTGGAAGATGAAAACGATAATGATGAGTAAAAACAAGTTGGGAGTCTGAATATGTGTGAGAACTAGTAGAATGGAATGAGGCTATACTGTCAGACAAACAGGATAAATTGCTGAAATAAAGAGCAAAATGATAATTTTGAGCATTTTGGTATAAAATGTTGTGAATTGACCATTCTCAAATGAAGGTAAGACTGAAATAAAAAATTAGGGGTACCATGACGATAAAACATGGTTACCATGGCAATCAAGTAAATGCCATGCTACAAAGTCTAATTCAATACACAAATCTAATTAATTTTTAAGATCTGAAATGATGATATCTGTATCTGCTTGAATTCAAACGTTAAAGCATTTATCAATTGAGGAGGTCCAAATTTCAATAAAACTCTAGTTACCATGGTAACCAATCGAATTTCAGCCCCCAAAGTCTAATTTAATATTTATAATCAATCATTGTCTAAGATCTGAAATAATGAGACATGTATCTCCCTTATTTCAAAAGTTATAGCATCCATCCAATGTAGGGTCGGAATTTCCCTAAAACCCTGATTACCATGGCAATCAATCATATGTCAGCTCCCAAAGTAAAATAAAATACTTAAAACTAACCATTTATGAAGATCTGAAAAAATGAGACCTGTATCTCCATTATTTCAAAAGTTATAGCATCCATCCAATGTGGGAGCTCGAGTCTATGAAATAGACCCCTGTATAAGTCATGGACCAATACAAGGCCAAAATCTGAGGTTTTGTGGACTGATCTTTACATACAATTGTTGCTTATATATTATAGAAGTTTTCTATTGACATTTTAACCCTTCCTAACACATTGGTGACAAAATATGCATAAAATGACTCTGTCAGTCCTGAAAAATTGGCCTGAAAATTGACACCCGAAGGGCATGTTTTATCTATTTCCATGGCAACCAGTTAACCATGTGACATGAAATTTTTATCATACATTCAGTTAGCCTATACCAATATAACTTAGTAATTTGGAAACATTCCACTGAGTATTTTTTGAGTTCTTGCCCAATTATATAGTAGGGGTCCAAATTTTAGCCCATGGGGGTAAAATGGCCACAAATTCTAAAAGCTGAAAAACTAAGATCTAATAATCCATACAAATATGTATAATCATAGTAGTAACATGAAAAATGATGTCCCATAAAATCCCTCTGAACGCACGCCGAAACCCACATTCTGACTGCACTATTCCGATCTCGAGCAATTTATGACACCGTTTAGAAGTAATGTTACTTCTATACTGAATTTATTATGTATTTTAGATGCTAGAGAATGCGATTCCAACCCATGTCAGTCAGGTGGACAATGTACCAGCGGTCTTAACTCCTATACGTGTGCGTGTACAAGTGGAAGATCTGGTGTAAACTGCGAACGAAGTAAGTGAACGCTTGAAATCAGTATACCAGCTGGTATTATATTAAGTCCTCGTGTAATAAGATATTATACTCAATAAGAAAGAATTAGTCTAGCTACAAGCCCAAGTCCCTCGTCTACTCAACTAAACACCTAGTAGTGGCGAGGAGGTCACGAGGGTTGTAGCTATTGTAGCTAGACTTAAACCGAATGGACAATATTCATTTAACATATTCTTTCGCACAACATTTTGAAGACCAACTAAAAGAACAAAGGGGATTTTTCTTAAAAGCCCAGGAAGAATATCAATCATTTCCAAACGTTAGAACAATTAAAAAGACATATATCATTTTTTTCTTTTAACCAACTTGTACTCTTGTTTTATTCATAAACTGCTGATTTTAGTTTAGTTTCGGAACTCTAAACAAATTGTGTTGCCATGGTGTCCTGAAACTCAAATGACCCTGGGAGTGGAACAATATATCTGAGATCTAAAATTGTTATTGTGATCATAATTATATCCATTTATCTGTTTACAGGTTGCAATGTTAGGACCGACCTTGTATTCATGATCGACACCTCTGGCAGCATTGGCCAAGATAACTTCTACACCATGCTTCTCTTCATACAAGACCTAGTACAGAACCTTGAAATTTCCAACGGGAATGTAAGGATTGGCGCTTTCCTGTTCTCCGATCAAGCTCGAAAAGTTTTCGATCTTAACACTTACACGACAAACAAAGGAGAGATTCTTAATCATATTGGAGCCATTGAATATGATAAAGGAGCCACAAATACCCCAGCAGGATTTGAGATGATGAGAAGTATGTTCCAGGCGGGAAATGGTGCTCGCGGTGGAGTACGCCGTATTGGACTTTTAGTAACTGATGGAAGACCAACTGTTCGAGAATTTGAAACATCAGACCAGGCAAGAACCACAAAGGATCAAAATATTCGCCTCGTCTCTATCGGTATTGGGAATGAACTTGACCAGACCCAATTAAATGACATGTCATCTCAACCTTCTTCCAGCAACGTTTTTAGAGTTGCCGATTTTGCTTCTCTAGATTCCTTGAGAGAACAAATATCTGTTCTATTATGCTCTTAGATTAATAAATTTAACTCACTAACTGATCACATGGTGGAATAGTTTTTATATCACTGTCTTAAAAATTGGAACTCTCTCGATTGAAGCTGTAAACTGGTATGTATACGATACGCATGAATGTAAGTAATTATTGCAGCGCTGTAAGAAAGTCCAAATGTACAGATTTCAGCAAACTAGATCGGAGAAAGCATTATTATTTCATATTTATCTAATTTTTATATAGCATAATGAACATGTTTGCACAATACTCACACCATTTACTTATACCCACGGGGAAAAGGGTACATACCCGAGGTCGGTTCAAATATCATTTCAACTAAAAATGACATTCACAACTCTTTATTTTTCTTTTGTAAACATTATATATCAATGTGTTATATTTGACCTTAGTATACTTGTGTTATGTTTGCACAGATAACAAACAATTTAGTTTTCCCTGGTTCTATGAAGAAATGTACTCTAGTGAATGAAATACTATTCAAAATAAGTAGTACTACTTTAAAATTACCATGCGTTGTGCTTCTGAAATGACATCATAATGGAGATAACTGATGCCAAGAAAACAATACCCATATTTGAACCTGAAGAGATGGATTTGAATCTTCCATTGACTCTGTGTCCTCTCCCTTGTTCACCTACCAGTGGAACATGGGAGTTGTGGCGTCCATGTGGTACTATTTCTGATATTGTAAGAACATAAGTGGTATATTTAAACGGTGACTTGTCCATGTTCACTCATTGGATATAAAACATAACTAAATTGAAAGAGACCAGTTTTCTACAAGATTCCTAATAATTTCTTTCACATCACGTTATATGTTTGTAATCATTTATGAATATGTACAAAATATCATATTTTTATATATTGTACAGAAGTGTCTACTAAATATAGACACTGTTTCAATACAAAATATTATCTCAGCCAGGGATGGTCATAGAACAGCTTGGGCCTGCTTTGGCAGTAACAAGGCTTGTATGACGCTGCTATATTACTTAACGAACTAAACATCACATTTAGTTATTAAATTATGCACTTAACTCCTTTGTTCATTTCTTATTGTTGATCCATTTTAGAATTATGAAAGCTTTTACCAGTTTTAAGTGTAAATAAGAAAAAAACATAAGGTAACCTAATATATTGGCTAGCTATTATGTACTTTTTTTTAGTTATTATATGATGTACGTTTTAATTTGTGATTGTACATTTTTGTTATAATGAATTTCAAAATTGATTGTAAAAATGTTTGTCAGAATAATTTGTAAATAAAAATTGGATTAAGCAACAACATTTTGTATGTCTAACTATTAATTCAATTTATTGTATGGTACAACAGGCCGTAATTGGATTCAGTCAGTTTCGAAACGACAACCCCAAAATGACCATCTTATCATTAACCCAGTGTGATTAAAAACTAATCAGTTCAAGATTCATAATTAAAGTAACCTCCCTGCATAGACAAGACTTTACAGACAAGATTTTAAGACAGAAAAACAAAAATCGCAGCCTTGCCCAGAATGCTCAAAAGCTAATCAGTTTCGGATTTACATACAAAGAAGGTTTGAAACATATCCATCAAATGGTTCGCCTGGAAACGCGTAGACAAGATTTTAGGATGGAAAATCCAAAACGGCTGCTTTAACCTTTACCCAAATTAACCAAAAATTAATAATTTCTAAATTTTCATACAATGTAACAGCCCTTAAACAGTTCGTTTCGCACTTCGATAAAGTGGAACGCCCGTCCGACCGCCCGTTTGCCCGCATCGAACTGATTACAATATAGCACCTGAGGGTTAATAAAAAGATATACAAATAGTAACATCATAACAACATCGTAAATCACACATCTCTTCTATTTGCACAGTCTTGCCTCGAACCCCCCCCCCCCCCCCCAAGTGCTGGAGTATACATCAGTCCTTTTTTGACGATAGAAGATATACCTGTAATGTACTATTTACGTTAAATATAACAAAAAATACACTTATTTAACAGCGTGGGCTTTACGCTGATATATTCAACAATTTAGTAGTACAGTAACTTCAGTTATACCAAAGAAATCGAAAATGCTTCATTTAGCTGACAATAAATAATATTACTTAAATCAATTAAATGTAAATTGTAAAGCTTCTTAGTCCCTGCAGTTTATCTGTTTTTACTTTTATATACTCTCAGAGGACTCGAAGGACTCAATGTTCTACCTAAGTTGTCGAGTCATTATAAAGTGTCCAGGTCAGATATATAGAGATTATCCTATATGAGGTTCAGGATATTGGGATTATTCCGAGGCCAATATAATATATTTGCCCGAGGGCCGCAGGTCCCGAGGGAAAATATATTATATTGGCCAAGGGATAATCCCAATATCCTGAACCGACTATAGGATAATATGTTTATCCCATACCAATCTTGGTCATCTGGTTCACATTGTTCAATCGTGGAAATATTTTAGAATATTCATGTCCAGTTTTGTTTTCTTGGTCGTGGGCGGGTTTTCCTGTTCCCTCAAATATTCCCACATTTATTTTCTCGAATTTTTGATTGATTAAGTGGATGCTCCTTCCCTTTTTTAAACCATCAAACAGATCCCGATTGTCTGTGTTTTCACCATTGCCGTGTACAGTCATTACGCGAACGTTGCACATTATGAACAAATATGCGAGCGGCGATTATGACGTAGCGGGCAGATATACTATATCTGCCCGCTCGGAGCGGGACGTATAGCTATATCTGCCTGCTGATGAAAATATAAGTTTTTACAAACCGGCTTTATGTACCTGTAACACGTCCAAGTATGGGATAAAAGTATGTATGCTACCAACGTTTCTGAATGCTGGGTCTTTATATAGTAATCTTCCGGACAGATATAGCTGTTCTACCAATGAATGTTTTTGAGTCATGATATAGTGTTCCGGACAGATATAGCTGTTCTACCAATGTTGTTGAGTCATGATATAGTGTTCCAGACAGATATAGCTGTTCTAACAATGTTTTTGAGTCATGATATAATGTTGTTGAGTCATGATATAGTGTTCCGGACAGGTATGGCTGTTCTTCCAATGTTGTTGAGTCATGATATAGTGTTCCGGACAGATATAGCTGTTCTACCAATGTTTTTGAGTCATGATATAGTGTTCCGGACAGGTTTAGCTATTCTCCTGGAATGTTTTGAATCGTTATATCGTGATCCGGTCAGACATAGGTATTTCACCCTTGTTAATAGTAATTATAGTGTTCCTGACAGGTATAGCTATTCTCCTGGAATGTTTTTAATCATGATATCGTGTCCCGGTCAGACATAGCTACAATGTATTCCTCATTTGTTTTTAGTTATATGATGTGTTCCGAACATGTATAGCTATTCTTCCATTTTTGAGTCATGATTAGTATCCTGGCGAGATATGTATTCTTCATGACATAGTGTTCCGGTCGGGTAAAGCTACTCCGTTTATACTGCGTCCTGAAATATAAAAGAACCGTGAATGTTAATCAACTAGTTGGTGATGAACACAAATTATACATTTGATGTGTTTCATATCCATTAACAAAAAAGATTCTATGTAAATTTTGAAAACTCTAACAATGCACTCATTTTGAAGAAATCTGAACATAACTAGCTTGCTCGTGCCAGCTAATTTTACCGCAAACATGGGTACGATATTGTAATCAGTTTTTCAATCTATTATACATATTGTCGTTTGCTTAACATGGATATTAAGGATATCTTCCTAGTGTGTAACATTTTTCTATTTATTCAATTGTCTTCATTGTTGCAGTTCAATTATTTTTGGCTTGTCAGGGTCATGATCTGTATGTCGCGTGTGTAATGAAAAATTTCAAGTTTGTTCTGCTTGAGACATCACTGGAAACAACGCCTGAGTGGAATGAAGCAGCTACAATGCATTGAGTCTTGGCCTTAAAGTCTTTTCACACATTGCAATTTTTCTATTAAATCATCTAAAAGGAACGAAATCACTAAAAGAACACATTTTTGCAAGGGTCAAGTTGGCAAGTCATCAAATCTAATGTGAAAAATCCATTCATCACCATGACAACTGTGACCTTGCATGTGTTATTGCTATTTCACACACTGTTAATAATGTGAATACTCTGTTCGGATTGGCTGGAATCTGACACACCTTGCCTAGCTATGTGTGAATACGTAATCGTTTCTTTTGTATACACTTACGCAAGCTCTTTATCGATAGATAGCCGTCTCCCCATGCCAAAAAACTTTTGTAAATATGTTATATTTTATCTAATAAAATCTATAGAAACTTACAGATATTCTTTGGAAATAAATTCATATTCATACAAACTGTTGACAATGGATTGTTTTTTTCAATTTTCCAAAGTATTGAAGATAATACATTGACGTGTCGCAAAAAACTCGCGCACGCATTGTTACACATTTTGTGGCGTAATCCAGAGGATCCTCGCTTTTAACATGATAGAATGTGACGTTTTTGAGAAAAATGTACACACATGAAAATCCTTTCGTCCTCCACATTTACCTCTATATCTCAAAACATTTTAGACGAATAACTCTGATATCATATATATATTGTTAATGGGCTAGGAGCATCATAAAACACGAATCAATTGATATTTTAGGTGAAATAAATATACGTGTTGCTGTGCTTGAAAATAGGCGAATGGCGTAAATTAGCCCTATTTTAATGAATTTTGAAAACCTTTCGTCCTCCACTTTTCCACATACAACAGAAAACACATACTTTTGTGAACAAAATCAACTATTTATTAATAAACTAGAGTTTAGGAGCAAAATAATCATGTATGATTTATTAAAAATTGATCTCGTATTTTTTGTTTAATGTACACCTGAAAAGTTGAAGGTACCAAAAAATGAGCAAAAAAGGTCGCTGTCAACAGATTCTATTTTTCAGACTCTATGACGTCACAATATGGGACGCTTACTAAAATTCATCCTTTGAAATAAAACTTCCATCTACCTTTATCAAGACGAAAAATAAGTATAATAGTCATATATTGGTTGAGTTATGAGCGTTTAAAGACGAAAAATAATTCAAAATGTAACGTGTCAACATGGGATATTTGCCAGAAACGAACGCGCAAAAAATGTGAACGGAGTGTAGTTGATCTAAAATCTTCATCGAAACAGCTTTAAAATGATATATAACTTTAATTAGAATATTATCTTATAATCCGGGGGAATCAAAGTTACATTCACGCGATACCCTTAAAAAACAAATGCGCCACCTTTTTGCGACACGTCATTACTAACTAAAAAGTTACAACGGATGAAAACTGTTCCAATTTTTTAGCCCACCCTGTATATGTATGTATCTTTTATTTTCCAATTCATCAATGGAGTATTCAAATATTTAAAGTTGGTAGCGTATTTATTGGTTCAAGTAATTAATGCATTACTGCAGAACTCTTTATATAACCTGATGAACATGTTTGTTTTAATGCGATTACCTCGTCGTCTGCCTCGTCTCCTACCTCCTCGTCTCCTTGCACCTCGTGCCCCCTCTTCCTCGGGTGGCTTTGGTCCGGGAGTAACTTCGTGGAAAAAATAAAACTCCGGTGGATACAAAAACGAGAGATCTAGACCTTTACCATAGTCTCCAAGTCCGCCACCTCCGCCATGACCTACAATGTTTCCGAATTGTGGTGCCGCTATCGAAAATAATCCCAGTTCGCTTATACCAAAAATAGCACCTAATACAAATATACCAATTGTTAAATGAGACATTTTGTAATGTATTGTGACTTTATCAAGCTAAGAATGTTAAGATCTGTCAAGGTATTCGCTTTATATGGATGATATTGCGGAAACAACATCCTGTGGCACGGAAGAGGAAGGATGAATACGCTCGAGCAGACGTTCCGTTTTCAAATGAACAGACACATATATATTTCTCACGATACATAGTTGTTGGTCTCAGAATATATTTATCTATATTTTGAACTCAAGCCACATACGCATTGGTTAATTATATTCAATGATTATCATTTAAGAAATATATTTAGCAATGTTACGAGTAGAGTTCTGGGATTTAAATCATTGCTTTTGAAATGTTTAAATAGCGGGAAGGAATACAGAATGTCATATGCAATCTCAAAAATACATTCCAGTGATTTCTTTTCTATCTGTATTTCATTTTTCGAAAGAAGAATCCATTTGACATCTTGGAGTAAATGTAAAAGCTACTGAAGATTTCAGATGCAGAATTAATGTACAAAATATTATCATTAATTAAAAGTGGAATCTACCCTTTTCTTATTTTGTCAGATAATTTTGTCAAATCTAAAAATCGAAAGATTATCCTGAAAAAATCAGAACTATTGGATATTTTAGAAAACTATCCTAACTTTAAGTAAATAATATTATGGATACATATTAGATTTAAACTCGGTGTTTTTCTCAAACAAAGTTACCCTTAACACAGAATAGCCTCAAACCTTCATTCTTTCAATACACTTTATTCATTTACAAATCATCCTAACCTGAACCTCAATTTTTTCAAACACTCCCTTTCATCAATTACATAGTACTTTGACAGTTAGGAAAATTAACCGCACATCATTTTTAGAAAGTCTGATGCTTTCTAAAGCGTTTGAATTAACGAGCTAGATAATGTGAGTGTGAGTTTGTTTTGTTCAAATAATGGTATAAAGGCTGACATTCTTTATAGAAAAAGCTCTTTGTGTCAAAGTGATCTTTAGACTCCTCAGACGATATAGTTGGTAAACGTACCTGAGTTATCGATCCAACCAAGTATGCATAGCAGGAACACATACGTCGAATACTGCGCTTATGGCCAGCTAGAAATCAGGATTATTCTGGTATACTGACCAAAATGGAGGAAATGTACTAATTTGATGATCAATTATTATCGATAATCATAATGATTGTTCACCTGCAGCTATATTGTACATCATTATTATAACACTTTATCGAATAGAGCAGGAATGGTCCATTACTCCAATACTGACTGACCTTACCGTAGGATATCAATAGTACCACAATTTGAGGATAAATGCATGGTGAGTATGATTTACCACATTATGTTGTTAAAATGTAAAATCATCAAAGTATAGGATAACATGTTGATCATTATTATTACACACAGCTATTGCGTGTCGATATAACAAATATAAAACTGTATGAAAAGCTATCTAGATGGGTATATGATCGTATAGAACAATGCGCTTGTTAGATGGTTAGCTAACGATGAGTTTTATTCATATTTTAACACCAATTAAGACATCAGGATCATCCGCATTTCTTTGGTCTTCTTTGGAAGTATTGTCAAACGGATCAAAAGTATATCTTTTTAAACAAAACAATGATAATGGCCTTTGTCATTCTTAACTATATATAGATAGTAACATCATGTGTTTAATAAAATTTCCAAAAATCAGCATTGAAAAAATGATCTTATTTTAGAGGATTCCATGTAAATGAAATGTACATGTAGTATGTTAACATATTGAGAACGACAATAAAACTCGTTACAGAATTTGTGCATGTGACAGAGATGTTTGCATTTAAGAGTATGTACCATGTAGAGCTTCATCATGGTGCTTGAAATACAAGGGTCCAGGTACAGACGATCAATTCATACAGACGTGTAGAACTTTATACTTTTCTTCTGCTTGAACAAGCAAACCATGTTTGACTCAATTGAAATATGATACACAGTACATCAAAATTGATTTTGCATTAAAAAGTGTTATGAATACATTAACCATATAAAAATCAATCAATACTGTACGTATTTATAGGGAATTCATCTTAAGAGACCAAAGGAACTTTAAATGGTGTTATCAGACCTATCCGTTACGTAGACTTGGTCCCCTGGTTAGCTTTCCTCAAATCAAAGTACAGAACAATTTATGCGATTAGAAATTTAATCTCAGTAATATAAAATTGATTGTGATCTTAAAGGTAATTCTTGTCAAATGGCAAAAATAAACTATTAGTTAGTTTAGTTAGGCTACATTACATAGTAAACTCGAATACAATGGAATTATTTCTATTGGCAGGGTACCAAAGTTGGTCTTATACTTTTAGATTTAACATTGGGGCTTACGAAAACGATTGTGGATTGTGAAAGGATTTCAACGATTCATGCTTGGTTGTTGGACAACACAACGGTTGACAATAGACCCTTTAACTCGATTACCGTCCGAAACTAACAAAGCCCCCTAACCCTCTATAACATTTACAAATGGCGTCCCATGAGGCCGTTTCAAATCAAGTAAGTCGGTGTGAATTTCACCTCATGCTGTGGATTTATACTTTACAATACTACACTTGGGACAGTTGTGAAGGATGTGGGAAAATAATTTCGGAAAATTAATATGGTGATGACTGATGTATCAGAAATAGTCGGATGTACGTTTACAGTTAGGCTTTAATTTGGGGCTATGTACATTTCATGGTTATATTGTAAAATGTGTGAAATATTAAATGTGGACCGGGAATGAGGAGCACTCAAGAACATTGATTTATACGTAAATATTATATGCAAATATATAATTATGTGAACTTAACACAATAGGTGATTTTCTACAACATTTACTGTACACTTGGCGTTCGCATTTTGTATGTATGAATATAACATAATAATGTGTGAGAACTTAATTATTTTGTGGATTTTTGAAATTATTCATTGATAAGCTGATCACAGATGTTCTGATGTGGTATGAATAATATATTAAGTTCGTCATATTACAAGCAATTATTTGATAGAAATGCACAATCAGCCCCTTTAATTATGAATTATGGATCGTCTTCAAAACATTAATTATGATTTTCAATGAGTGAGACGTTTATTGAACTTGTCTTACAATTTCCTATGGGCACTAGTCACGATAGAGGGAAACTATTAGATGTACGTTTGCGTGTACGACAAACTGAAATAAAATACATAAAGATCATCGACTAACAAGGTTTATTTGTATAGAATGAAAAGACATTCCTTTAAAGTGGTAATACATCCAAAAATTCTTTGTATTCTTCAAAATAAAAAATGTCAATAAACTTTTACTTAAACTAGAATTTCAATTATTTATTTGTGTAGAACATTAAATTACTATAATTTAAGCATTTGAAATGATATATATTTTTTAGGATGTCCCTAGAGGTTAAAAGAATCCAAGGCCTGGAAATCTAAAAGGGATTTACTTCATCAATATGGAACCCGAGGAATATGACTTTGATACTTATGTCCAGGACGATTCTTTGACAGGTTTGTTATATAGTATACCATTTTTTTCATTTTGAAAAATATTCGACCATCACGTGGACATATCAAGGGAACCGTCTACTTATTATCCGTTGAACCGTTTTTCATATTTTGTATTTCAATAACCCTTTAAATGCACTCACTGCGACATATAAGTGACGATTTTCCGATTCAAGTGGCTCAATTTACATAGAACCCATATAAGTTCTTGGTGTGGGGCATATTTAGAAAAATAAATCCAACCAAGTTATTTGAAGACTGGGCACGCATCTTAATATCAACGAGTCAGATTGAGTGTTATTTGCATTGTTTAGCAAGTGCATATAGTGCCTTTAGGTAAACTTCAAATGAGGAACTTTTTGACATGTGTAAAGATCTCAACCCCGATAGAAGCTTATTCCAACTAAATTCTGCAAACATCCCGAGTGGTTTCCCAATAAATAGGGCATAAATCCGTTAAACTAACATTATGGCTGGAATAGAGACCCTTGGGTGGAAATGCGTCACACGCGTTCTCTTGGTCAAAATACCCTTTGAAACAAGAGATTAAAATACATACTTAAAAGATTGTTTAGCAGCATTAATATTAATCCTCGTTCCTTTTAGATAGCATCTCGTGATGAACTACATTTACGCACATTAAATATCATTATATGTATTTAAATAACGAATAGTTGTTTAACTTTGGGTTTAAGTATTTGCACATTTTATGAAAGGTCAATCCCTAAACAAAACGACTTAAATCTTTTATTTGACATTTCGAGAGCGACTCTTCTTTTGACGAATATAATACTCTCAGAACATTATTTGCATATATTTGTAACATATCAAACACTTCTATAACAGCCCGATGAAACCAAAATGGCTGTTTCAAACGGCTTTAATAATTTTCCACCGGGATTTCTTCCAGAGTTCGTACGAGCAAACAATGAGGTCATGAAAGTTACCGAAGAAGAGGTCGATCGTCTGCAAATTGGTGACGTCATCTCAAACTCGTTCCAACCGTCAAACAAACGATGGAAGCGCCCTCAAATGGCTGTTAAACCAATTATCAATACAGCAGAAGATAAGGAAAAACATGTTGATGACACACCGCTCAAATCATCAAAAAGTCTTAATGATTTGGTTTGTGAAAACGCCAAAAGAACTAGCCAATCCAATAAGAAAAAAGTGCCAAAAGAAAAAAAGAGATCACGTAAAAAACATGTAAGTTTCGATGAAGTGGTATACTCGTCTGATCCATCTCTTGAAGGCGTCGAGCACGCACTAATAAAATCATCACTAGAACTTGAAGATTTTGACGAAATCAATATATCTCAACAGGAGCAAACAATTTCCAGAGACAGTGTTCAGACGATTAACGTGAAAGCTGATATACATAATTCTGATAATCATACAAGTCTTCCAAATGAGAAAATGGATGCTTTAGAATCTCCCAAGGACGATACTATGAAAGACCAGAAAATTACACTCTCTGAACTCGAGGATAATTCCAAACATGGCGTCTGGAAGGTTCCGAGTGTACCAAAACAAAGTGGCTTGAGTCACAGCAATGTTCCTTCCCAATCTTTGCCAAAACAAGATATTTCTAAAGATATTAAACAAAGCAGCAGTCCTTTAGGTCAGGAATTTGGGAGATTATCTGGATATGAGAAAAAAACAACTTTTAGGAATCCTTTTCAGAGTAGAACAGTTGGTCTTACGACCACCAAAGTCAGATCAAGTAAAAAGTCATCCAGATCAAACGCTAATGTTTTACAAAAGCAGTCAGCTTTACAGACTGAAATGTTGTCTCTCGCAAGGCTGAATGAATCGGTCTCTCCACGCTCCAGAGACAGTTCAGCGTACTCAACAAGTAGCGATGACGTATTCACAGATTCCCGTGACCAGGAGTCCACGTCATCACAAAGTGGGGTGGATGATGTCGAAGGTCATGTAATACTTCAGGTTGTCTCATCTGGAAATGTCGAAGCTTTGGTTAGTATATGAATTGACAATGTTTAGATTCTAAGCTAGGACTATCCATCTTTGAAGTTCTCTTCAAACGTAATTAAAATCATTATTTGGATTTTTACAATGGGCGCATCATTCCAAAAGGACGCAGTACTTAATGCACTTGCACAATGTAGTTAGAATTATTTGAACACATGAATACCGATGCTATTTGTCTTTTTTTAGCATAGACTCACCAATACTATGGACGCTGAAAACCTTGGATCTTTCTTAGATCGTCATGGCAACAATGTCCTTCATTTATGCTGCTCAAGCGGCCATCTTGAATCTTTAGAGTATCTCCACCAATATTTATCACCAACATCAACAGAAATGTTGGCAGAACAAAACAGGAAGAAACTCACCCCATTCGGATGTGCAGTAAAGGTAATGTTGCTAGACTAAAAACATATATTACAGAGAAATATTGTCCATGCATTGTAACACCCCAGTCAATCTACACCCCGTAGATCAATTAAATCAGTGTATTTCTGCGGCGAGTATAGGAAAACTACGCTCGCCTTGCGGCCTCCGTACGGCGTATCCAGTTTTTACAGGCCGCAGGGTCGCCGTAGAAATTATAACTCGGAGTTATAGGCTAATATGAGTTCATTTCTGAGGTCCCCGTAGAAATCAACTGGCTCAACAAGATTGAATCATTATTTGTCAATGTTTCACGATCACTTTTCATTTGATATTACATTCTAGCACTATGAATAACATTTATAAATTGTCCCGATGTAAATAAAATGAAAAAAGTATTATTTATCAACAGAAATTTAAAATTCACCGTGCGGCTGCCGTGGGAAATGTTACTGCTAAAGTATGAGAGCGCAGAAATTCCACGGCAAGCGTAGAAATGTTACTGGCCACAGAAATGATAGACCGCAAGGTCGGCGTTGGAAATGTGACTGGGGTGGGGTGTAAATTGTACATGTATATGAGTACATGGGGCCCTTCATACACACTTCCATACAACGGTTTGGCAACTGGAAGCCCCCCGATGTACTGGCAAAACCTCCAAAAAACGATTTATATTTGGTATCTTTGAAACATCAACAACAAGGTCATGGAAATCTAGATTTCAAACAACTATGTTTTATCATGAAATTCAACGTTGACTTCCGGTTGCTAAATCCATAATAGTTCATGAAAAGAAACATTCTTATAAGGTAAAGATACATTTTAAATCTAAGTCTTATTGATCAGAATTAACGTGAAATTCGCAAACAGTATAATACTCATATTTTCTTGCATGATGTGAGTATAATTAAAAACACACCAATTTTCCTACTTTATGAACATCTCTATTTATCAGAGAGGCCATGTGGATTGCCTTGTGTGGTTGTTGGAGCAAGATGGCAATGAAGAAATATTAGGCAACGACACACAGAGACTTCTTCATATAGCTGCTAAACATAATCAGGTATTGTACTATTTACGATAATTAGCGATTAAGGATTTAACTGGTGCAATGTGAAATGACCATTCCTTGAAGCTGTTGCTTTCCAAAATGTGCACGAGATGCACAGCATCGAGTGATAATATTAGAACACAGCAGCTGAAACCAATGGTCATTCCACAATGGATTTAGTCTCGGACTAAAATGTTCACATTGACAACCACATAAGGAGTGACATTGGATGCATTGATTGGTAATATAATGCACTGTAGTTATATAAAAATGCTGTGTTAACATAACATTAATGTTGAATTGCATTGTATTGTTTCTTCAGTTTGACTGCCTCCATATTCTTGCAACCATCTTTCAAGAAGATCAAAGTGTTATAAATAGCATGGATGTAAACCGTCTCACTCCACTACACATTGCCGCAAAGTATGGCCGACTAGAATGCATGCAGGTAATAAAACATATTACTTCTACACCATACACCCCTCACCATAAGTTTGGAAAATGTAATGTTTATTGAATATATCCATGCTTGGTTTATATGTGAAAAATATGCGACAAAATAGAACTGTTTTTAAGAAAAGAAGAAGTAACCCACTTTAATCGTCCATAATTTCGTTATAAAATGAATTATCATTAAAAAGAGATTTGAAACTCATTTTTCTTCTAGGTACTTATTGATTTTGGTGCTGATGTGTTTTCTAAAAATGCTGATGGCCTCACCGCGAGTGAGCTTGCTTTAATAAACGGACACTCACAATGTAGCAAGTACTTACAAAGTGTGGAAACATGTGTTGAGTTCATGGGGGAAAACATCAAACTTAAACTAGAAAATGACCGTCTGCTTGAAGAACAAAGGGAGTTTGAGCGTTTTATGAAACAGGTGGGTGAAGATTAATATCCATATGTTGTTTATCATATTATTAATCAGCTATATTGTTTCTAATTAAAATCCATATGATTTATTTTAATGCAGCTTATAAATTATCTCAAAGAATACCGATATAAGGAGCTTAATTGGCAAAATTATTTTTTAATAATCGGATTGATTTTACAATCACGATATTTTTTATTGATCAAAGCCTATGAAAATAATTACCATTATGATTTAGTCCTTGATTTTGGTCTATTGAAAACAATATTTAAAACAAATAATAATAGCAAAATGAATACTCACTAACCCAATTAGATGTAATTATTAATAGGATCCAACTATTAAGACGACTTCAAGGTAATTACCACTCTTGATTTAGTCTCATTGATTTGGGTTTATTATAGACAATGGAAGCTGTCGCTAAGGTGTCGACTGTCATGAAAACAGCTGACAATAACGTATCCACGGTAGCTCAACTAAAACAGGAATTCGAGCACGTGACCAACAGACTCGCACGGCAAGTGGATGTACTTTACCGAGAAAATACAGCATTAAAGCAAAATACAAATGGAGGGGTGAAAAGCAATGCCCTCGAGTAAGTAACTTACCTCATTATGAATTCCAGAAATATTTGAAATACAGAATATAACATTTGAAATTAAGACATTTTAACTGATATTAATTATTAAGTGATTATATAAAGGCGATGGGTTCAGCCCCTGTACATAAAATACTTAGATATGGTATCTTTACTTCTGCCATCCTCTCGCCATTATTTCTGACAACCTCCCAGCGGTGTCCAAAATTCTGAATTACCCTTGTTTCCCTTGGCAATTTCTCAAAGAAATAGACCTGCATCAACTCCCCCACTCCATTCTCATTCTTAAAATCTGCATCGGGTTATAGATGGATTGCATGGAGTGGCAAGAGAATGCAAGAATATACCGTTAGGAGTTTGTTAGATATGATGTGAAGGTAACAGCCATGCACGAGGGGTGATCATTAAGTAACGGACATTTTTACATAGACACTTTTATTCGTATTAATACCTGATAGGTCCTAATATTTGGATAATCCTATTTTTCATAGGAAACAAATACAGGATACGATGTGTGATAATGTGAAACTTGGTGAGGATCTAGATAAGTTTAAAACAAATCAACCTATCGAGCCCCCAGGGTTGGCATATATCGAGGCACTACAGAACAGTTATAGTCACTTCAATACAAAACTCAACACGAGTAGGAATAGGACACAGAGGGTTAAATGCGATCCAAGGTGAGTACTTTTATCCTTGTTACAGAACAACAGCGAGGGAATGATTTTTTGTGTAATATTATATAAACGTTGTAGCTTCATACCAAGGCTTGTTCCATTAATTTGACTTGCGTTAGCCCGCGTTTTTTCTAGACTCGCGCGATGTGGCCGAAAACGACTCATTGTGAATCATTGTCCCGTTGGTTACATTGACTTCTTGGGGTATTTGGAAATCTTTGGCCATATGTTGTATATGAAAATATGTTGCCTTGAGAGTCTCATTTAGCAAAGACTATTTAAAATATCTAAAGATCTATTATGTTGACAAAATGGTGTATAAAGTACGAAACTTGAGAAATTTTCAAAAAGTGAAAATGGTGGTCTCCTGCTTGTCTATCCATGTGGTCACCTGTGATTAGTTGTTGACAATCTTTTACACCACTATTTTAATCATACACACTGTCGGAATAAACTAACAGTTATTTCTTTTATTTACTTTTGAGATGGACTCATGTTTTCTTTTTGCTTTCAGCCATATCCGAAATGAGGTACGGTTGCATCTCCTTCAATTACAGCTTGCCACTGTTAAAGCCACAGAAACGGCAACTGCCAATGACAATAATCACCATGGCGACCGAAACAAACCAACAGACAATAATTGGAATGCACATAAGAATCCAGTCTGTCCCGATGACTCGCGATCGACCATAGCGCAACATAAAACGAATACAAAAGGAACTCCATTAAGTATTATAAAGGAAAACCATCTGAATGATGCCAAAACGCAAAGAAGCCGTAGCGAAGGTGATTATCCAACAACTGCAAAGACTACTGAACACGAGGTTCAAAACTCAAGAACAGTCATTCCCCATCAACACGTTCAGTCTATCCTAAAACCAAGCGATCGAATCCAGTCGACAAGTGACCATGCTTTATTCGGGAATGGAATTAGCAATAGGCCTAACGTGTATCCAAATCACGTTCATCAAAAAAATACCAACAGGAGTAATATAATTCCAGCAGAGAACACACTGGGCCAAAGCAATATTACAAATGTTATTAAACGTTTTGAAACACTCCAGACAAGCAATGTTGGGCGTCAGTTATCGACCACACATGATTCTCAAACTAATTATTCGCCTAGTTCTAAAGTAAGATTTCAACTAACAGATCCACCTCTAAATCAACCGAAACATAAGGCATTACATAATTCTGATGATGATGGATCTACGTCATTATAGCTTTTTATATTTTTCAAACGTTAATATATTATTCAATAAAGAAGTGTTCCAATAAAAGATGTCAGACCGGTTTGTTTGTTATTTGGTCGCCGATTCAACAGCTTGGGTTAATAGAGAGTTTAAGCTTGCACTATTTTCACAACGTAAACGTGAACAGAAAGTATCGATATAGAAATGTGTATTGCGCGCATACTTTTGTATGCGCTTTAAGCGCTTAATAGTCTACTTCAATACCCATTCATGCTTTAGAGTTTCGTGTATAGAAGGGGAAATTTGATATTTGAAATATCACGTTGGTGTCAACGGGAATCATTATACTTATGTCTGTTGAATACTATGCTGGAGATTTTGATTCACAGTAGAATTTTTTTTCTGAAGAGGATGATGTATGTCATGCTTGTTTTAGCTCCAAATATCTTACCAAACGAGCCTGTTTAAAATATATAATCAGAAAACCAGCTAAAGAACTACCAATCGCATTTTCCATGTTGGGCATAGTCTAAGCATAAACACTGAACGTTTATTTGAGCGGGAAAACTACTTGCAATCATGAGCCCCTCTCAATCGGTCAACAGTGTCACAAATTACAACCTTTTCCTTTGTACCTACTCACTCTGGAAAGTAAATATAACGAAAAGGAGACGAGGTAATCCCCAGATGACCATTATTCTACACGTTTATATACGAGTTCTGTTAAAACACGTGAAGCTTACCCTCCCTAGAAACAACGATAGAGGGTGTGTGTGTAGGTCCTTTCGTAACATATTCTAGTCAGGTGATCTCACGATGTGGTCCCACAATTGTTAATCAGATATCTACATACCGCGAAACCTGATACTGCATCTAATTACCAATGGATATGATAAACCGTCACACGTGAAAATAACAAACATATTGTTCAGGTTGGTCAGATGTATTTTCAGTGGAAAGTTGGTACATGATAAGAATTTGTTGATATACATGTATATTTTCACAAACCTTCAATATTGTATCCAACGTGGATATATGACGAAATTTAGGTCATCTAGTTGAACCCCGGGCACTGTATTTATTCTCAAACTGAAACGCCAACTATTATTTTTAAATAGAAACGTGACGCAACTAACAATAACAGATCGGCATATTTACATCAAGATGGCAAGTACGTCAATATAATTTTTTTGCCTTAAGGTGTAAATGTCTCGAATGTACGGGTAATTGTACAAAATTAAATCGCAGAGAAATATACACAGTAACTCATACAGAGTCCGGACATGATCAATTTTGTCAAAACATATAATTCTACATGCATATTCAGAATATTCTTGATTCTTTAATATGGACCATGTCGTGGTCAAACGATAGCACTGGACATTTCACGAAAACGGATACTTGGAGACTCACTAAAGAATTAAAAGGTTGAGTCCAGTCCCAAATTTTCTGACAACTATATATGTAAAGAAATTTGAACCCACTAACAAATAATAGTTTTAATTCTCACTATTAGCGTCCCCGTTTCCTATTTCATACATGAGACCGAGCAATTCGATAATAAATTCTCTGTGAGATTCGTGTAGAGCGCAACTAACAAGATGGGGTTATTTCCCGAAATATGTGCAGCCGACGATGATCTAAATACAATTCCCATTCTTCATTTAAGAATTTTTCGGAAATCGGACCCATCACGTCATCAAGTGGACATTGTATCATTTTTGAAAATATTTAAGATCATATAGATGAACCATAAATAATTTACATAATACATCGAATAACTGGGTCTCATTTTCAGCAATTCTATGTTCTTATAAATAGATCAACCACTGTGCTCAGTCCCTTTCGTCTTGCGAAAATATAAATTGAATACAAATGTTTTACAGCCAATAAATATACACAATATTCAACTGATTTCAGTCATTAATATGTACAATCTAAATCGATAATAAATTTTTTTTAAATACTAATCAGTTTAGGATTTCAACTGAATAAGCGGATGAAGTTACAGCTGTTAAAATACCTCAAAGAAAACAAATTAATCGTTCGTAAATATAAATGTGTAAGGAGTAACATTTTTCCTAAGCCATGTACCCAAATGTGGGCAACTCAACACGAACGGGCAATGTGAAAGAATTGTGGCCCACTTCGCCATCCGGTCAACATGTTATTTGAATTTGTCATTCCAAGCTCTGTCGAATTTGGATGATTAGTAAGGTAGATGAAATACATAATAGTATGGGAGCAAAGGTAATTCCGTGTCCTTTTTAGAGGCGAGCTAAGCGACATATATTTTTATGAACTATAAGTGATACTTACCAAGAAAAATGATGTTGGCAATTCTGAATCCGCGACGGCGTTGCTATGGTAACCAAGTGAATAAGCCACGCCCACTTTTAGGGGCTCTTTTCAGTGTTTGGCCCCTATCTCCTTCATTATTGCTCAGATTTCGATGAAATTCACACTAAATGGAAGGTAATAGATAATGCAATCAAAATATATTAAGTTGGCAATTCTGAATCCGCGGCAGCATTACTATGGTAACAAAGTAAATATGCCACACCCACTTTTAGGGGCTCTTTTCTGTGTTTGGCCCATATCTTCATCATTATTGCTCAGATTTCGATGAAATTTGCACCAAATGAAAGGTAATAGATGAAGCAATCATACAGTTTATAAGATATGCAAATAGGGTGATTATGACGTCATAACTCTTTGTTTTTGTGTATTTTATTTTAATCATGATATATAAATCTGCGAAATTATTATTTTTAAAATGGTCAATAATGCTTTTAACCAGTTAATTAGTTTATTCCTTTTAGTTGAGTTTATTAGTTTATTACATTCATACATGTATGGTCATAAAACATTGAATAAATGTAATGAAAGTGCCCAATTAACGCTGTTGCTATGGTAACAGCAAGTAGCAAAACGATCCGCTGTAAACAAGAGAATTCTTTAGGAAATGTTACATTTTGACCATTTGACTGACATGTATTCTTTTTAAAATTTGGTGACAGAAAATAACCTAATAACTATAGAAAATTATTCAATTTGGATTGTGTTATACTATGATGTCATAAGGGCAATTGTTAATCAGGGGCGCAGCACGCTCTCAGTGGGGGGGGGGCAGGTGGGGGGGGGTTCGACACAATTGTTTTTAAAGATTTTGTTTAATTTTACAAAAGTAGATGCAACTTCCTTCAAAACTGAGCTAGAAGCTTCGAGTCAAATGCATTTTAAAACTCTATTTCTATCTAATGGTTCTATTTTTATTGGTTACAGGGGGGGATGCACTCATTACACCCCCTGGCTATGCCTATGTTAGCTATGGTAACCAGGTGAATATGCCGTTCCCATTTTTCACGACTTTTCCAAAGTTTTGCTTCTATCTTTGTCATCATGATAGCTCTGGTGTATATGAAATTTTCATTAAATGGAAGTTTGCTTTTCTTGCTGGGTTTCTTTACAGTGTTTGGTCCTTTCTCTTTGGCATTTACGCTTCGATATTCATACTTCAATCAATCATATTTCTCAGCTTTGACCTCATTTTATTGTGAATGTCAAAGGACAAGGTACCAATTTGGAATCATTTTGAGCAATTCTACCTTATTTCAAGAAAATAATCACAAAAGCAGCTATGATACCCTAACGAGTAAGCCAGTCAGTTAATCTACATTATCCATGCATTTTCTGATTCACCTGGTTACCATAGCAACATCATATTGGATTAATATAACCCCCCTCCCATAAACAATAAGATAGAACCATTAGATAGAAGAAGAGCTTTAACCCATTAGTGTCTATGTCCCGAATATGGCACGTTTTTTTAGTATATTGGAAGATGTTTGTACTGTATCATTAGTACTTTATATTTCTTAGAAAAGAAGATACTAGAATAGTAGATTTCTCCAAAGTTCAAGGTCATTTTGTTTTTTGCAGACATCTTTTGAATTTTTGTCCCAATGTCCCTCAAATTGATATATCAGTCCATAGGCCATAGGGGGCCACTACCATGCTATTGAGGGCCACTTGCATGTTTTGGATGCCATCTAGGCCACTTAAATTTCTTTTTGGACCACAGGGGTCTACTAGGATGCATTATGGGGCAGCGGGGGTCAACTGGAATACGTTTGGGGCTTGGGGGCCACCGGGATGCTTTTATGGGTCACAGGGGGCCACCAGGGTGCTTTTGATGGCCATGAGGAGCCATTTGCATGCTTCTGGCGGCTTCAGGGGGCCACTAGGATGGTTTTGGGGGCCACTTGGGGCCAATAGGATGCTTTCAAGGGCCACTTAGGGGGCATAATGGGGCCCTTGGATGCGTTTTGGGCCGCTGGGTGTCACTAGTATGCTTTTTGGGGGCCACTAAAATGATTTTAGGGTCGACAGGGGCTCATTGGAGTGCTTTTAGAGGCCACATGGGGCCACTGAGATGCTTTGCGGGGTCACAGGGGGCAAATAGGATGCTTTCGGGAGGAGGAGGAGGCATAATGGGGCCACTTGGATGATTTTTGGGCCACTAGGTGTCACTAGTATGCTTTTTGGGGGCCACTGGGGCGGTAAATGGGAAGCCTTTTGGGCCACTGGGGGCCATTAGATAGGTTTTAGGGCCCATTGAAGTGCTTTTAGAGGCTACCTGGGACCACTGAGATGCTTTTTGGGATCACAGGGGGGCAATTGGATGCTTTCGGGGGCTACTAGGATGCTTTTATGGGGCACTGGGTGTCACTAGTATGCATTTTGGGGGCCACTGGCGGGAGAAATGGGAAGCTTTTGGGGCCACTGGGGGCAACTAGAATGATTTTTGAGGCCACTGGGGGCCATTAGAATGGTTTTAGGGCCGATTGAAGTGCTTTTAGAGGCTACCTGGGGCCACTGAGATGCTTTTTGGAGGCCAATGGGATGCTTTCGGGGTCCATTAGGATGCTTTTAGGGGGCATAATGGGGCCACTTGGATGCTATTTTGGGCCACTGGGTGTCACTAGTATGCTTCTTGGGGGGTCACTGGGGGGCAACTGGGAAGCTTTTGGCCACTTGGGGCCACTGAGATGCTTCTCGGGGCAACGTTTTGGGGCCACAGAGGGCCACTGGGTTGATGTCATGGGTCACAGAGGGGTACTATGATACTTTTGAGGGATCATAGCAGCACTAATTTGTTTTTGGGGGCCACTGGGGACAACTAGGATGCTTTTGAGGACCACATGGGGCCACTATGATGCTTTTGGGGGGCATCTGGGGGCTATTGGGATGCTTTGTGGGGCATCTGGGGACCACTAGGATGATTTTGGGAGTCATAGGAGCCGCAAGTATGCTTAGAGGGGCAACAGGAGCCACTAGAATGCTTTTGGGGGCCACTTTGGGGCACTGGGATGCTTTCTCGGATCATATGGGGGCACTGCCGTGCTTTTGAATGTCACTGGGGCCAATTAGTATTGAATTATAACAAACAGACTAAGTTTAAGTTAATGACAGTGTAAATTACAAGTTTGTAAAAGTTATGATATTATAAATAGGTTTTACAATTCCGAAATCATAACCTCTTAACCCAAAATGTTATCATGGGCACTTGTGTCCATGTCCAATATTTGGGATGCCTCTAGAACAAAAACTAATTTTAGTTATGCTACCCAGGTTAGAAAAACATAAAAATTATTTTTAAAAAATACTAATGCATTCAATCTGTTGTCATTATTGGGTTAAAATGCTTTTGACTTGAAGCTTCTAGCTCAATTTTGAAGGAAGTTGCATCAATTTTTGTAAAATTCATCTTAAAAACATTTTTGGGTTGCTTATGCCACAATCGCCCCCCCCCCCTCGACTGAAAGCTGGCTGCACCCCTGATTAATGATTGCCCTTATGACATAATAATATAACACAATCCAAATTAAATAATTTTCTATAGTTATTACATTATTTTGTCATCAAAATATTAAAAAGAATACATGTCAGTCAACTGGTCAAAATGTAACATTTCCTAAAGAATTCTTGTTTACAGCGGATCGTTTTGCTACATGATGTTACCATAGCAACAGTGTGAATTGAACATTTTTTATTTGAATTAGACATCTTTCATTACATTTATTCAATTTTTCTATGACCATAAATGTATGAATGAAATAAACATATAAACTCAACTAAAAGAAATAAACTAGTTGAAAGCATTACTGACCATTTTAAAGACAGTAATTTCACAGAGTTATACATCATGATTAAGATAAAATATGCAAGAACAAACAGTTATGACGTCATAATTAAGATGCAAATCATCCTTATTGCATATTTGATAAAATATATGATTGCATTATCTATTACCTTTCATTTGGTGCAAATTTCATCTAAAGCTGAGCAATAATGACGAAGATATGGGCCAAACACTGAAAAGAGCCCCTAAAAGTGGGTGTGGCATATTTACTTTGTTACCATAGTGACGCTGCCGCGGATTCAGAATTGCCAACTTAATATATTTTGATTGCATTATCTATTACCTTCCATTTGGTGTGAATTTCATCGAAATCTGAGCAATAATGAAGGAGATAGGGGCCAAACACTGAAAAGAGCCCCTAAAAGTGGGCGTGGCTTATTCATTTGGTTACCATAGCAACGCCGTCGCGGATCTAGAATTGCCAACATCATTTTTCTTGGTAAGTATCACGTATAGTTCATAAAAATGTATGTCGCTTAGCTCGCCTCTAAAAAGGACACGGAACCTCCTATTTGGACTTTTGCTCCCAGACTATAATCAGAAATTCACAACTTACATGTCGAAATAGCAACATGAAAGTTATCTTACCCTCAAATAGTACATGTACTTTTAACATACCTTTAATGAAACAGAACCCGTATGTTCATCTCTGTACTAAATCCAGAATGAAAATATAATTTTACTAAAGAGACTAAATTAAGATTTCAATAACTACGACAAACCAAGAGACTATTGTTTTCGCACCTATCAACGCTATTTTCGGAAAGCTTTATCTTAAACGAATTCGAATATGATTCTTTATGCTTAACACACAGAATAGCTATTTTTCAAACATCGAAGTTGTATTGGTCTGCCTTTTCAGCAGTACACAACCCGTTGACTTGTTTAGAATAAGTACTTGCCACATGTGTGAACATGCGTTGAATCCCTCGCCAAATATATTTCAATCTCATTGATTTGAAATGCAGTCATTTGATTGGAGGAATTAGCTTCCGGCCGTTGATTGGGAGGGCGCCATAGTCTCGCACCAGTCGTTATGAGACATTGGATTCGAATAACAATGGCGGGTTAAATCTGATTAATTGATGCAAGACAAGTTATGGAATGTCAATTCAATGTTTCCTAATTTAGCATCTCACACTCAGCAGGAATGTCTTTGAAGTATAGTATGTCAGTATTTTCATCACATAGTATGTCAGTATTTTCCATCACATGGGACAAATGTTTTTTAACAAATTCTGCCATGACACTTCTCAGCTTTACAGTGTCTTGTATTTTGATTTTGTGGAATTCCTTCTTTCAGAATATAGTACTTTATGAAAAAATATACACCTCAACGTTATCTCCCCTACTTTACTAGGCATCTTCGTAATGACTAGACATCTATTTTCGATCCCCTTTCTTCTGTTGAGGAGAAACCTCAGAAACGATGTTGTCTGAAATTAAATACCAATCTTTAGCAATATTATGTTACTCATGCAATTAGGCTCATGCAATCCTTCATTGTGATTATAAAAATAACTTAAAATATGCGATTCAAGCGAAGAACAGCAGTAATTACTTATTTCTAATATGATGCGTAGGTTGACCTGAGAATAGACCTATATCCCCATCTGAGAAGCTCTGGAGATATACGAGTATGAACGGGTGTACTAAATATATTCACCTGTGTCATGTAATATTGCCCTTTGTGATATTAGTAATTTTAGTTATGTGATGCCGTGCGGTATCCATATAACATTTTAGCTCAACGTATCTAAAATCTAAAATCCGTAACGCATTCACAACCTTTATGAGTAGCATTTCAATTAAGACAAGATGTGGTGCGAATATGTTTTAGCTATAACCCATTGTGCGAAACCTCTCTGGTCATGTTTGTAACGTAATACCATGCGGTATCCACGATACGACCTTATTCATATTGGTGTTTAGATTGGGTAATTTTAGCTTAAAAAAGACCTATTTCACAGTGTAATTTTTCATGACACCGGTGATATATTCCAAAATCTGTATACGGATTTCTACAATCGCATATTCAGGCAGAACACATGTATTTAACTACCTTCTTTGGATAGAGTGGAATGAAATTAATAACTTTAGACTTTTAACAACAAGTATACATAAACTATACACAACAGAGTTTGCCAGGATTGACTCATGTTCGCCTCACCAGATCCTGTATTCGGTCCATTGTTTCCCTTGATATTCTCCAATTCAGACTCCACATCAGTTTCAGCATCTCCAATATTTCCTTCTGACAAAGCCACTTGCTCACGGGGGCTCATATCAGACAGCAGTGCTTCGGCTACCAAATCTAAAAGCCCATCAGAATCTAGATAAAATTGTGTATATTGAAAAAGAGCCCCATCTTCATTCTTTCAATATGATGGGCCGATCGGTCTAACCTTACCGAGTCAAATTAGTTTCAAAATGAACTACATAATTTGCCGCCTTCATAAGAAGCTGCCATTTATTTCATATCAAACTCCCATTAAAGACCATGACCTCTACTTATGGGAGCATTTGAACTCATCAGAGCCAAGACTGTAAAAGTGCCTGTCAGAAGGAGTAATTACTACAAGGCCTCAGGATGGAATAGATAAATGACATCAAGAATAAGTGGTCGAAAAGTGTAACACGACAATTCATACACCTACGGACCTGATGATGCCTAGAACAGACACATTAGTATTTACTGCTGCTACAGATGTTAAAAATCATTAGTCAGTAAAAGACTAGCGCCGTTCAATTTCAATTTGCGTTGCAAACATCAAAACAAATGACAGTGTGAATATCCGACCCCTATCCGGCTAACTATGCATCTAATAGCATCAAATATTTACTGGATGTACATTAGTAGCAATTTGAATAATAAAGAGGCCTTTGTCTCCTTCGTATGGAAATTATACTGTGATCTAGGACTTTCAGTAAGGCCAATAGAGACGGCTATAATAGCAAGGTGCAAGATTTGCAAAAGTAAAACATCATCTTAGTTCACCCATTATCTATCAAGTAGCATCAAACACACTTACCCAGAAGACCTTGCATATCGGCCTCTGTGATTTTGACATCTTTCAAATCTATAAAAAATTACAAATTTTCTTATGTTTCTTTCATCATTATCTACAAATTATATAGCGCGATGTGTAGATATACCAATTACTTTGATGGCATCTCATAAGATATGCACTGTGGAACAAAACGTTGAAGTATTTTCATATTTCTCCTTGGATTTAATCCAAGGGCACCTCACTCGCAATTTACCATCGCATATTGATAAGTATAAGCAAGGACAGAAGCAAAATTGGACAGTGTTTCAAAACTTAGTACCCATTAAGTCAAAAAGCTTTAACAAATAAATCAAAATAAACACATTTTATGGGCCATAACACACCTTCAGTCTGCAGCATTGTCTTCAGTAGATCTACTCTCAAGGCTTCTATCATTTCGCCAAGGGTTAGCTCCTCTCTCATCTCAGGTTTCAGCTCAATCATAGCCTTGTTCAAATCAAATGTACGAAACTTTCCACTATCTTTTACGGTGTCCTCCCTTGATTCTCCTTCTTGTTGTTCATTTTCAATAACATCAACACCTGATGGAACTTCAATCTGTTTGGAGGCAATCCCATTTTGTGATGTGTCAGGTTCAGCTTTTGGAATGTCAGATCGTTTCTCATTTACTTCATTCACGTTTGCATCTTCTTGGAAATTACCTGAAGCCTAAAAGTAATGGACGGAGCGAATCTTTAAACTTCAATTGAGAACACATTTAAGACCTCTTTATTATGAATATCAACGATTAGTCCGGAAATACACATATTAACATGTATATAAATAGATGGAGGTGATACTACCTGTCTAGCATATGGTAATGGGTAACCATACATTAGAACACATGTTTATTCCTTACCAATAGAGCTTCTTCTCTTTCCCTTGATTTTTGGAGGGTTTGCATCAATCTTGTGAATTCGTTTATGACCTGCTTCTTATATGCCCTTGCCTCTTTTGATGTCATCTACATGATAAAAGATAACATATCATTTTACACATGGGTTAATGGCTTCATTTAGTCTTACAGCAAATGTAAGCATTCCATCTCTCCACTACATAACCATCACGTTGAGGTGGACTGTTGCAGAGGCTGCAGAGGCTAAATTCCAAAGTCAGAGTACCATCTTCACTTTAAACCTGATATCATCAGTTCTTAAGTGTTTGACTGAACGGGTCAATAGTATGTAACAAAGTAAAATTTATATAACAGTAATATTTTCTGCAAACATTGTGGTAATCAATTGTCCGTTTCAATAATGAGTAAATACAATGCCCCCACACTTCCGTGGATAAGTCATGGACAAATCTCTTGAAGTTGCTATTATGAGACAGTGCAACATTTGCATTTGTGGAAATAGAATTACCAACAACCTCTGTAATATAGCTTGATAACTGAGTTTGATTTACAAAAAGGAAACAACATTATTAAACATAACGACTGATACTCAGACCATCTCTGCCATACAAAGAATCCTTCGAGAAGGAAACTGATATGAGGCTGGGATATCTCACAATGATGGAATAGTTGCTTTTCTCAACTTCTCCATTACACTAAGGATTGAATAAGTGTTTCGCTCAACTTGTCCATACTAAGAAGTGAATAGTTATTTCGCTCAACAACTTCATTACAATGAGGATTGAATGGTTTTAAACTCAATTGTCACACTTGATATGGAATAATAGTTCGCTCAACCACTCCATCACACTGAGCATGTTTTATATTAATTTATGACATCTTTTTGTATTCTAACTGTGATTTTCCAAATTTTTTCATTCTGGCATTAAACATCACATCTATTTTATAGTTTTAAAATATATTGTATAAAATATCTAAGAAATCGTAAATGAAAGCATTTGACAATTATTCGTGAAATTATTGACACAAAGTTTGATTTTCTTCCTGATCAAAATTAATCAGTCACAATCAACTGTTTGTGCGGGTCTTCATTACTATATATTTTTCCAATGGTTTTTGTATGTGTTCTGCTTACCATTGAACTATTGACCAGATCTTCCAAAGCAGCGTCAAAGCCAGAGAAGTCATCAGTAGCCAGTAGATACTCTGCAACAGCCTTGGGGCTGAAGTCTATGGTCAGATCGTCTTCAGGAATAATAGGGACCTAAACATTATTATTAACATATGGTTGTAATGGTGTGTCTGCTTTTAAACACATACATTATTAAAAACAAACAGTAGTATTCATTTTACTTAAAGTGAACATTATGCGTAATAAGTTGCCTGAAGACTGTATCATAAAGATGGGTACACAGGTGCTGTTTTATATAGGACTTTTTCAGTGTTTCTCAGACGTTTTCTGATAACACCCACCGTTGTCATTAAAATGATGACCTGATCACGAGCTCGTGTGTAACTAGATGCACATTATGATATACCCTTTTAACTAATGATATCTTAAAATTTGCTACAGAATAATAATATAGTACTTTCCACTTCTCGAGCTTTCTACTAATTAGTTCAAGTATTACCCATGTTGTTAACTATCATGGATGACAATGAACTGGAATGAAACAATACAAACTGCTAGCTGTGTAATCGTGTTAGTGGAATGTATACTGTAATATTTAGTTTGTGTGATGTGGTTAATTAACAAAATCCTCGCTGTACCTGAAGACATTTTGAAGACCTTCTTAATAAAGAGAATTATTAAAATAGTAAATACTCCGACAAATAAAACTAATTCCATCTGTCCTATTTGGTTTACATCATCATGATCTTGTTTCAACATGAGTTAATTGAACTTAATTGAAATGGTCACTTTATTACCATAGTAAACCAATATCAAGTCATATATATTTCTGAACATGAACCATATTGAAAAATATATCCGTATCCCAGTTTCCACCAAGAACTGAAATAAAACAAAAATTGACAAACGTCAAAAGTCACGATTGCAATATAACTATAGCTTCTGATAACGATTATATGTACATAGCACCTGTGTAGGCGTCTTATAGATAATTATCCCCTATTCGATTTCATTAATCTGAGTATCATTTATAATGGTGCTATAAGGCAGATAAATGTAATCTTGAATTGTTCATTATTTGAAGGATCTCTTGCTCTATATTATTTCAGATCCTGCTGATATACAAACAATGGGCATTAGTCAACGTGTTGGTTCAACTAACTTTATACTAGGCTAACATCTGACGATTGATTCGCTTTGAAAGTTGCAAAAGTTGTCTTATCCTTATTTCTATTAGAAATAACAGAGGGTATCGTAACATCATTTGTGTGTATTTATTACTGATGTAATATTTCTGGCTTTAGCGGTTGTGTCAAAGTGATATACTCGAGTCTTTCTTCATCAAGTATTAGATGCTTTCGACCAATAAGTATTGACTTCATTTTATTTGCAATCTAAAGGGTGTGTTAGTGTCACTTTTAGAATATCAAATATGATATTATCGATAAATGCTAGTTGTTTCATATATTGAATATACTTTAAAACTAAGTAGTCTTTCTCTGGTTATGTGGTTGTTTTTGCACCCTTTTTCGATATTTAATTCATAATGTACCTCTTCCGATCCAGTCTTCTGATAAGTTCCATGGACACCGAGTGCTGGTATGTTAACTTCTGTTTCGACCTGTGTTTGTCCATTTTCCGTTTTAGAATGTTGATTGATATCTTTCACAGTGTCCCCATTGTGAAGCTCTACAAAGAGATTCAATTTAGTCTAATTTAGATACTTGTGAGACTATGCAGTATGCACCGTGGGGCGTAGAGTAACTAAGGTCGAGTCTAACACCTCAAAATAACATAATTCCCGTGAAAAGTCGATGATTATATTAAGCATGAATACATTATTACAATATTTCGTGTCATAATTTTAATAGCTTAACCCAGACGCTGATGTGTCACAGAGTTCTAATAATGACATTCTAATTGAAACTGCATGAAATGCAGTCATCGTTTTTCTTGTTTGTATATGTGTTCTGAATTAGTAGGCGTTGACTTACCCCACAGGGGCTTTACGATAATTGATATTTTCAAAATCAGTTGTTTTACTGAAGCCTGTGCTGTATGTGTTGATACCAGGTGCATTTGATGTGCTCTATTTTAAAGTCATCACAACTAGTTATCATAATCATGCGATGTATACTGATAATATTGCTTATTATTTCTCAAAAACAGCTTAAATGATGATTTTTGTGGTGATACAAAACCGGATTACAGTACATACAGAGCATCGATTGCGTTGATATTTTTCATACTACATAAAACATATGTTTGACATCAGGTCTTAAAAGGGCGATGTTAGATGTGTGTTACCCATCAATGAAATGCTTTTTCTATGCATATACCATTTGTCTAATATTTTGTATCCTCCAACACACTGTTTAAATTAACATTGCTGTTGCATCATTTGTTTGAGATTTCGCCAGAAAGTGCCTCTTAAATGACAGACAATGAAAACATTAGACAAAATATTGTTATTTTTATGGTGGATTCTGGTTCTTTTCAATATATATTGCATGGTCATGGTAAACAGTTGCGTTGCCATTACAATAGCACACATATATAGTGTCGTTGATCTCAATACACATGGCGCAGGATGCGGTAGAATAGCAGAATTCATGGAATTTAAAAAATATCAATTATCGTAAATTTACCCATAGACAGAAAAATACATTATTTGTTGTAGCATATGAAAATAATATTATCACGTTCAAGACAAGGCAAAAAGCATCCAAGACATACCGATTTCCTCATTGTGCCCCTCTCCAGTTGAGTCACCGTCGATAGACGTAAAATGTTGTTCAGATAAAAGGGCTTTTTCAAGTTTCTCTGTCTCTTCAATCTGATCTTCACGCACCTTTGGAACTCTTAATAGTGGCTTTTCCTCTAAAGTGGAAATGAGAGTCATATTAGTAAAGCGATCAAGTGGATAAAACAATCAGATTCTTTCCTATTCTATGTACGTACCACCTACAGGTTTTTATCCTGCTTTGTTTTTCTACTTAGTCAACATTATTAAAACGAGGTCAGTGTCTCTCTGTATTCGCTTGTCTAATCATGTTGGCGATGTTCAGACATGCCGAGGCAGATGTATTTCTTTGCAAAAGGAGAATCGTTGCACATGGAAGCTGTCATCAAATATACGACACGTATCAACTAATTAAATGCCTAGTATCTCATTTTAGTTGTCCGTATTTCTAAGTGCAAAGGAGGAAATTCATAACATTTATAGAAACTTGATGTTCCTAGCAACACAAATGAGAAGACTTCACTTTCAAAATCATAGATTAAAATCTTTGTTGACATATTAGCACCAAACAAAAATTTTAAAAAGGCCTTAGTTACCCTACTATCACACCAAACTAGTTCTCACTACGTTCTCGAAAACGGGCTTCAACGAACGGCTGGACGTACTTAGAACCGTTTGGGGTCTATTTATAAACTTCATCAAACGTACTCGAACGGGTAGGTCCTCTAGAACTTAGAACATGCTCAAAATGTTCTCTTGGTCGTCACGTTCTACAATTAGAACGAGTAACACCCTACTAACGACAAGCTGGACGTAGTACGAACGGAACCGTCGTACTTCAATCCTACTAGACCTTCTAGACTAAGGGACGCGTTATACGACGTTACACACCGACGTGGTGCGACCTGAACGAACTGCGAATGAACGTATTGAAGACTGTTTATGAACTAAGTAGCTAATTATTTGAGACATATTTCCCGACCACAGCCAGATTGAGCCCGTTTTACGACATTTTCGTAGGACTGGCAATAACGGGTAAGAACTAAGAACTAGTTTGGTGTGATAGGTGGGTAAAGCTTTAAACCTGCACATCGCTCCAAAACGCAATATGTTGACATATATTGTTTTTACATTTTCAAGCTCTAATATAAAGTTTATGTAAATAAAAATTGTTTTTTTCTGCGTAATATCAAAGAACAATCATTTAGTTAAAAAAATAAAAAGGCCTCCCGCGTGCTAAGCGAGGATTCTACCGCTAGACCACCGTGTTATTATGAACGGTGGAAGTAATTAAACGCTACTTATTTTGAATGCTATGATTCGGAAGTGACGTCACGTTCTTCATTTAGAAACCTTTCCAAAATCATATCGCCGGCTCCAATCGAAGCAATTCAATGAAAAATCTTTGAAATGACACATTTATCGTAAGTATTTCTACACAAGATTTGCCCCATTTGTTCATCATTCTATAATCTTTCATTAAGCTCAAAATGATAAAGTTCTCCCCCGAAACAACCCAAGATTGCGTTTCGGAGCGAAGTCCAGCTTTAATGTCCTGTTTAAGAACCCCTAATCTAACTATTGAAAATGGATTCTAGCAATACTCGCCAACATGAATCTACTTGTTGAGACTCGATCAACTCGAGTTCTTAGAAAATAAAGACTGTTTTCCGTCGGTTACATACAGGTTCAAACAGTTCTCCTTTATTCATCTTTAAAATTAGAAAGTTTCTCAAGAAACTCAGACCTCATGACCATCTCCCTATCTACAATGGATTTTACTGCGTCACCTCATTGATAACCAGAACGCTTATCGGAAAACATCGATTTTTATAGTTTTATGTCTCTGTATAATGGAAATAAAAGGACACTGGCAATAAAAGATGATTCAGGTTTCCCAGAATCCCCATTCACCTGCTTTATTTTATTTCATTATTTCAGGTATTTACTATTCCAAGCTTGAAAAAGGTCTCTAATAGATACTTAATCAGTGTGATACCTTTTAATCTTGACACTAACACTCTAAAGGTGTGATGAATTATCCTTCCAAGCTGCCCACGTAGTAATAACTCATGGAGAACCGTGTGTTTCTAGGATTTCTAATTATACAGGGTGTTCAAAAAAAAACGCAACCCAAAGAAATCGCTATATTTTGAAAAATACTGGTTCAATTATGTTCATATTTTCAGGAAATAAAGAAGAGACTGTGTATGTATAGCTCCTGTAAATGGTTAGTTGTAAAACATGATGCCTTGGACACCTGCTCAAAAGACACTTGTTCTAGGAAAATACGAAAAACGAAGTGACGGGTGACTGCAACCTCAAAAAATTAAATAACTTTCTAACCATAGTGTTTTGGCTCTTTGGCTCAGGGGGACTTAAGAAGGCATTTTGACCATGACTGTAAAGTCCCTGGAGTGATTTTGATGAAACTCCACAAATTCACCACACATTGAATGAGGATACGTTATCCCAAATTTGAAGTGCCAAAACACCATGGTTACAAAGTTATTTGGTTTTATTGCTGTGGCAGTCACCTGTGACTGCGTTTTCATGTTTTCCTAGAACAACTGTCATTTGAGCAGGTGTCCAAGGCATCATGTTTTACAACTTACTGACAACAGGAGCTATACATACACAATCTCTTCTTTCTTTTCCTGAAAAAATGAACATTATTGAATTAGTATTTTCGGAGATATAGTGATTTTCCATTCGCGTTTTTCGTATTTTGCTAGTACAATTGTCTTTTGAGCAAGTGTCCAAGACATCATGTTTTACAGCTAACTATAAACAGGGGCTATACATACACAGTCTCTTCTTTCTTTCCTGAAAATATGAACATAATTGGATGAGTATTTTCCAAGATATAGCGATTTCCTTGGGTTGCGTTTTTTTTTTGAACACCCTGTATTTGTCTAAGTCTTTATGGTGGTATTTAAGGTACATGTATGCTGGACATAACCTTGACTCTAATTTAGATTTTTGAAATAGAATATATACTATGAATGGAATTGGAGATAGCACAGTGTATCGGTATAAGTGTTTGTAAAGACTCCAAATTTCAATGTACGCCTTTGTGTTTGTTATTTTACTGACACCCACGGGTTTTCAGGGTATAAAAAGTGGAAATGGTGATTCCAAACACTAATCATATCCTCAAAATTTGAAAGGTTGATTCCTGGCCAAATGGCTTCTCCCTCGGGACATAGTTGGATGTAGTCGACATGGTTAATACTGTGGTACTACACCTGTGGCCTCACCGACACCATCAACTGGGCACATTTGAACAGAATCACAAGAAGTGTGTCATTCTCCACATATGAGTATAATATTTCATTATTTGGTTTCATATTCCATTTTACTGGACTCTTTATTTTCCATTAACTCTATAGTTATTCTGCATCTAGAATTAAGAAATACTTTTTTACCCTAGGTCTGCATATAGGAATTACTTACCGTCTGATTGTGTACCTTTTATCTCATCAACGTTGACCTGAAAATAATCAAATAATTAAAACAGGATGCTGTTAATCCCGCAGTGATAAGCATTATACAATTAGCTTCATTACACAAAAAAAAATTCACCACTCAACAACATCATTGGAAAAATGTTTCAGTCGGAATGATGCGCTCTCTGCCATGACACTGTGTCACCATAACCGAGCAAAAATGTATGTTTGTCATTATTTGATTGAAAGTTCATTTCTTGTATGTTATAAATGCAACTTTTCATGATCATTCGCAATATGTCTATTTCAATCAACTCCGGCGTTTGATCATGAAATAATCTGCGAATATACCCCATGTGGAGATTTTGAGTATACGATCAGTAGCAACATCACATTGAAGTTTGCCTTGGTTTTCGATATTATTGGTTGCAAACGGGGTATTATGCAACTCTCTGCATCTTTCTGGTTCACTAACAACATACTCTCATATCATCACACTTTTCATGATCTAGGATCATTTGATGGAAGGTGTTTCAACTGTCAAAATGTTTGTTGATTATTATATTTTCATTGCCCTTTAATGTTCAGATGTTACACAAAAAAGCATAATGTAAGGTTGCGTTGCCATTGTCATTAGATATTAACCTTGGATGGAGAAAAGAAATTCTTCCTCCAAGTAAAGTCACGAGTTATATACATGTAATGTCCACTTTTATGGGATTTTACTGTCCTTACATATCTTAACATTCCAATTCATAATTATCAACACTTGAAATGTTGCAATGGTAAACGCTATTGTAAAAAATATATGTTAGTATTATCATAACCATCATATAACGCATCGAGATCGAAATGTGGTGTCATGTGTCCATATGCGTAGAGTGATTTTTGTCTTAATTTGTCCTGATATTCTAAGAATTTATCAAGGACATATGGTTTGCGGCAATTGGCTGATTATCTGTTTCCTTCAATTAGCAAATCTGGACAAGGTTTCCATTGAGAAAGACATTTTTGCCGCTTTCTGAATCTACACGCACATTCTTTGTTTGAATTAACTGATTAATCTTGACAGATGAATGTCACTTCTTGGAGACGGTGCTATTTCACCTGAATGGCATTGTGGAATTTATAGAACACCAATAAACTAATGCTTGAGAATGTGTCGTACTCTAAAATGCCAGCAAAGTATAGAGTTTAAAAATGTGAAGTAATCTTTTCTAAAAGCGCGTCTGTGTTTTCCTTATAATTTTGATTTCATTGTCTGATAATAAAATTGATGTAGGGTATCTAAACAAATATGGAAGGTATTAACGATTTAAGATGCAAAAACATCCATTATATTATAGCATTTGAGAAGGCTATACTCGACATCAACTCGTCACTGCGTTTCCTTTGATGAATTCTTATTAGAACAACCGATCTCTAATTATCTCAATTAATGTAACGTTCAAAAATAACAAAGCAAATTATCTTCATCGTTCAAGGACCAATATTAGCTAGTCAACCTCAAATAAGATATTTCATAGATACATCACAATTCGTAAAACGTTGTTATGGCACAACCTTTTGGAGATTTTTAGATTTATCAAGGATTTCAAGATGGATCAGATCTAGAAGAGTTGGTTCAAATAGTTTTATGGAAAGCTAACCCAGAATATCATTATGCTCTTATCCCTATATAACACAGTACTCGTTGATGTTTGGATCAATTTAATGCAATATTTGGGTCTTAATATAGGCTAAAGAACAAATTAAGTGTCATATTGACCAAGTTTTATTCAAAATGGCTAAATGCCAAACATCACACATACGCATCTAGACACAGTATTTAAATGATGGTTGATATATTATATTATGATTTTCCAAGAATTTCAGAAAATTTTAAGTTTTTACACAGAACTTTGTCTTTTCCCCCATACTTGCAATGTTGGGTCTCGAAAACTTTTATCCAAATTAACAGCTCATTTACTATATTTGTTATATATGCATTATCAAATGAGAAAATATTTATTAAATAATTTACACTGTTAAAAATTACCTGGTTTTACCCACCAGTGGTCTATATGTCCTGTACTTGTTATAATAATGTCTCTCATTTTCATTTTCAACAACTTCTGATAAAATGTAAGAAGTCTAGAACAGCATTTACATACCGTTTGTAGCTTATTTAATACACTATTAGTTTTAAACATGGTTCATGGGTCATTGTCGCAAGCTTTTTATTTGCCACAAGTCACTTGACTTTTGGTTACCATGGCATCCATTTCTAACCAAATATTTTTGTTACATTCAATATTTCATTGGATTAATAAGTCATAAAAGAGATATAACCAGACCTTCATGATTACCTCGTATACTATCGACATGCTAGTATGTAATATGATATTTATTACCTCTGTTTTATTGCCCTATTTCCCATGTGCAGTTATAATTAGATATTAATCAACTAATTTTAGAGCCTAGGCATGCGTACTGCAGTCAACGCTATATTAATCCCCATAAAAACAAAACAAATGGCAGCTAACACCATGATAAACCATATCATCCCAGTTCTTTTCAGATGCCCAAATGGTATTATTAATTAGATCCAGTCAACGCTATATTAATGCCCATAAAAACAAAACAAATGGCGGCTAATATCACGATAAACCATATCATCCCAGTTCTTTTCAGATGCCCAAATGGTATTATTAATTAGATCCAGTCAACCCTATATTAATCCTCATAAAAACAAAACAAATGGCGGCTAATATCACGATAAACCATATCATCCCAGTTCTTTTCAGATGCCCAAATGGTATTATTAATTAGATCCAGTCAACCCTATATTAATGCCAATAAAAACAAAACAAATGGCGGCTAATATCACGATAAACCATATCATCCCAGTTATTTTCAGATGCCCAAATGGTATTATTAATTAGATCCAGTCAACGCTATATTAATGCCAATAAAAACAAAACAAATGGCGGCTAATATCATGATAAACCATATCATCCCAGTTCTTTTCAGATGCCCAAATGGTATTATTAATTAGATCCAGTCAACCCTATATTAATGCCAATAAAAACAAAACAAATGGCGGCTAATATCATGATAAACCATATCATCCCAGTTCTTTTCAGATGCCCAAATGGTATTATTAATTAGATCCAGTCAACGCTATATTAATGCCAATAAAAACAAAACAAATGGCGGCTAATATCATAATAAACCATATCATCCCAGTTCTTTTCAGATGCCCAAATGGTATTATTAATTAGATCCAGTCAACCCTATATTAATGCCCATAAAAACAAAACAAATGGCGGCTAACATCACGATAAACCATATCATCCGCGTTCTTTTCAGATGCCCAAATGGTATTATTAATTAGATCCAGTCAACGCTATATTAATGCCAATAAAAACAAAACAAATGGCGGCTAATATCATGATAAACCATATCATCCCAGTTCTTTTCAGATGCCCAAATGGTATTATTAATTAGATCCAGTCAACGCTATATTAATGCCAATAAAAACAAAACAAATGGCGGCTAATATCATGATAAACCATATCATCTCAGTTCTTTTCAAATCGTATTATTAATTAGATCCACGAGAGACCAGATTTGAGATATTTGTAGATCTTTCACAACAGGTTATGTTTCATCTAATTAATTAAATAGAATATAACGCCTATTATGTAATACATTATGGACAATAATTACATGATAACCAGCATCAGACTTGGTGACAGTTGTATTTTTTCCCATCAAATGAACTTGTATGATTATCGAAGAATGTGTTTCATAAGACTAGAGCAGATGTTTATGAAACAGAAAGATTTGATGATTATCAGAATGCCAATAACAATAGATTTATGTAAAATAACAATAATAGAAGACATGTATAGACTATAATAATCACAATTAGAAACAATGGAATATGCTATCACATCTTTAGGTTGACACGACGGACATTATCTTTAAGCGGATCACTCTCTTGAATGTATACGCACCTTTCTTACTTGAACCCGGCTTCTCTTTTTGGCATCTGAAAATACAAAACATTATTTAAACTTGTTAACATCTAGTAAAATTGATTATTAATTGTTGCAAAGGATCAACTATTTTGACGGTTTACCATAAACTTAAATATATTGCTCAACGTTGATGTTCAATTTTAACTGATGAATATGTGGATTCGAATGTGCACTTGGGCTTGCTGTTGTCAAGGTGTTGTTATAGCAACACTATTGTTATGGCGACCCCCCCCCCCTTTCCCAGATATTTTAAGATTTGAAACCGAGCCTAGAAGTGATAGCGCTTGAGCTAATATTAAAGTCAAAGTGTATAAATGATAGAAATGACATGATACTATGTCATAATTATAGTAAAAATCAAAGTTTTGAAGTCAAAGTCAAACCGGTTTTCTAAACTGTACTGAGATATGTTCAGAATGTACCAGAAAGGGTCTGATTTGATTTCATGTTATATTTATTCATAGTCTATAAAAATTACAAATCTAAATGAGCTGCCAATCGCTTCTTAGCATTATAGGCTAGCTTTTACTTAATTAATTACAAAATATAGTAACATAAAATGATTCAATATGAATTTGCGACTACACACTTTACATGATGACTAGTAGAAGGATTATGTATCCTCCATGCCTTCAATGGTTACAGCATCAGTTATTAATGTACATTAAAAATATTTAGGGAAAGGATAAATTTTATAACACTTTCTTTGAGAGTTGTGTCTTCATCAATACTTAAATTGTTACCAAAAAGAAAAAATTCAAGTTTGTCTTGGTTGGTTCTGGGTAGGTGGTCTATTAGGTGGTTCTTCTGCTCTAGGGTGGTCATTAGCTGTTGTCGTTGGAGATTATGGCGCTCACAGGAGAAAAATACATGTTTAGGTGTCTCAGGCTTACCACAAGCACAAAGATTATCATCAGTGTCAGTAAAATTGTGAGAGAATTTTTGTGATTTGAAGAAAAGGTCACATCTGATTTTATTTAGGACTGTTTCATGCTTTCTAGATAGCTTTAGTTTGCTTGTGGTATTGAAATTAGAGCCAGTGCTTAAATTTCCCCTTATTTTATTCTTAAAAGTGGAGATGGTCCTGATGGATTTTTCATCTTTCAATTTATTCCATTTTCCAATTAGTCTTAGCACAGGTGCCATACGAATTCTAGAGCTAGATTTAGTTGGTATTTTGTATTGTAAATTTGTTCTTAGTAATCTAACTGGCGTTTAGGCCCGGTCACACCGCCCGGACGTTGCAGGAGCGTTCCTTGAACGTTGAAAAAATTCATCAACGCTCGTCAACGCGCACAAAATGGGAAAAAAACAAAAACACGGGCGTTGGATTAGCGGTGCACCGCTGAAGCCGGCGTTGCTTTAGCGTTGGTTAAGCGGTTGCGAGCGGTAGCTAGCGTTTGTTTAGCGGTAATGCGAGCGTTGGTATAGCGGCGTTCTGCGCATGAGAGCGTTGCCTCGGCGGGGGTATAAATAGCAGCAGCGTTGGTTTAGCAGCATATCGCGTTTGACTACTGGGAAATTATTTCAAGTGGGAAGTGTTTAAGAGTTAAGACCTTTATTGGAATTTGTAACTTTAACAAAAGTCCTTCAAGGATTAAAGAAGAAATGTTTTAAATCTAAAGTGCTTCTATTAATGTAATATGACATTAAGAATGAATAACATTACGATTTTCTTTAATAATCTCTCATATCATTTCAAACAAACATATCACAATTTAATCGTTGCATTTCCATTACTTGGAACCGATTTACGTTCAAATTGCTTTAACAATGTCAAATAACATTTACAGCAAAGTAATAATCATCACGCATGACAAATTTTTGCATTGCTGTGCGCGCATCAACTTTTTGTATAATACCATGACGAGTGCAACATTTTACAAGCTGCGCAGAAAATTCACAGATAATTTATTGAATTACTTGACGTGAAAACACTAGGTATATTTGAATAAAGGTCTCAGTAAAACTCTATTTGTATTAACATTTAATGAAAAACAAAAATCGCATAATTCACCTTTTTAAAATCCAAAATCACAAACTTTGAGCGCTTAATTTAGGAATTTACAATGCAAAAAAATGAAATGCCAGACATGAATATATATCAAATGTAAAATGCACAAGTGTCTCCACAGTGTTCTACACAGTGGTGCATTTCTCCACGTATTTATAGCCAAATTCTGGTCCCGCTCCGACACCTCTATACCAACGCCAAAGCAAAGTTCATCGCCGCCATGGAACGCTGCGACAACGTCCGACACCGTTCCAACAACCCCATGTACGCTGATAAAACGCTAACAACCGCTCCACCGACGTTTGTGCAACGTTTAATCGCAACGCTGGCGAAGCAGCGGTGGTCCAGCGTTTAAGATTTCTGCGTTGGTCTAGCGGATTCAAGCGTCCACGAACTTGCGTCTAGCGGTGCCAAACTTTGACTGGGCGTTGGTGGAGCGGTGATAAACTTTGCCAGGGCGTAAAATTGTCCCTTTTTCAACGCTCGCAATATTTTGAGCAGCTCAAAACTTTTGGAGCGTTAGGATGGCCACTTGAGAAACATCCGCGTCGGTCGAGCGTTTACAGCGTTGCTTTAACGGATGTCAACTTTTGTTAAACGGTGGTGAACGTTCACGAGCGTTGATGATTTTTTTCAACGTTCAAGGAACGCTCCAGCAACGTTTAGGCGGTGTGACCGGGCCTTTACGTTGTAATTATTGAATATATTGTTAATGTACAATGGAGTAGAACCTTTGGAAACTTTAAACATGGTAATTAGCTCCCTATATTTTCTTTTATCATCAAGGGATTTCCATTTTAGACAGTCAAGGGCTTTTGATGTATTTGAACCATGAATAGCTCCTGAGCAGTGTAAAGCAGCTCTATAGTGTAACCTATCAAGTTTTTTTTAATTTTGAATTGAGCTAGACTCATAAATCAAGCTACAATAGTCAAAATTTGGTTGTATAAAAGAATTATAGATGCACTCAAGATGCTTGGAGCTAAGCTTGTTTGATAGAGCTTTTAATGGACTTAATTGCTTTTGTATCTTACTTGCCAGTTTGTTTATGTGAATATCAAACTTTAATCTACTATCAAGAGTGAAGCCTAGGTGTTTGTGAGAGGTTTTGTATGGTACCTTTTCACCTTCAAAGAAAATTGGTCTTATGTCAATGAACCTGATTTGGTGAAAAAATCATATGAGCGCTTTTGGAGGCTTTGAATTTAAGATGCCACTTTGTGGACCATTGTTCTATTTGACGAAGGTCAGACTGTAAATCTTGAGTTTGATTTTGGATAGAGTCAAATGATGCATAGGCAGACGTATCGTCTGCATATATAAAACATTCAGATTTCAAATGGTCAGGTAAATCATTTATGTAGAGTAAAAATAGAAGTGGTCCAAGAAAGGGTCTAAATTTGATTAATCTCGATTTCAAACTATTCTACCTTTACAACAGCGACATCTGTGGAGTAATCCCAATGCGCATAGACAATATTATATATGCATTGTGGAATCATTGCAACAGCCTTTACTAACCCTTTGAATATACAGTAAAGATGAGCTCAGAATGTACGATATGGATTTCATCAAGAGACATGTATATATAACATTATCAATCAAAAAGTGTACGCATTGTTTCACATTTTAATATTTTATGATGAAACAGAAAGATCGATTTGTGTTTTACTAATTTGATTAGAGTCTCATATGATGATATACTTTATCAGCTCATTTGTCCCTACAGTGTGCACTCCCGATATCAAAAGAGGAACGAGAGATCATTTTGACGGGTCTCTATGGAGTTTCACAAAACCAAATGAGTCAAGATCAACGTTAGGTCGATTTAGACTTTAGCCTGGATTAATCAATTTTCCATGTTCATGACAAAGCTAATCTACATGCTTTAGTTAGGCCACCCCACGCATTTTACCATTTTGGACAAGTGCTGGTTATTTCCCCAAGGACAGTGTCTCTATCGAAATGTCTACGGCACCATAAGTAGCTTTGTATAGTCGGCAATATACTATATCAGGCAGGACACACCTACATTCTTAGTCGTACACATGCACATAGTTCTCGTTTAACAATTTTCAATTTTCAGAAATACGATATTACGCAGTGAATAACTTTTCGAAGTGCAAAATCAGTAATTTTGTGGAAATAAGAATTTTGTGGAGTATGTAAATTAAACTCCTATAGTTCACGTACTGAACACGTTATGTCAATTCATTACTATATCTAGTATATTTTGTGGCAGTTCGTTCAGTGTGTTTCTTCCTACCGACTGAACAATTTGCTTGTGTCGTCGTTAAATACAGTACCACTAGAATAACCTTGTCTAACGAAAATGCCAATTGAATAAATGAATGGCCGAATAAAAATAAATTGGTTGATATCACGAAAAGAGATGTATTATTCAAGGGTTGTACCAGATCAGACTTGTTTGGGTAATGTTAAAACATGAGCGCCATGATTGTAAATGTATCCTATACCGACGTTGATAATTTGTCACCAACTCTCCAAGAACCATTAAATGATTAATCAAGTCCAGAAGTAGAGTACAAAAAGGGTTGGCAGAGGCGATAAGTGGAAAATCATGGAAACAAAATTAAACAAATGAAACTGATGATTTTTTCCTTTAAAATAAAAAAAAATGCCAATGGTATAACGTCTCTTAAGACGAAATATTTAACCACTGTACTGTATTGTAAAATTGTTAAATGTAGGTTTACCATGTAACTGTACTGTAATTGTTTTTTGCAATTGCTTTAACATGCTTATTCTTTGAAATAAAAAAATTATAAAAAAAAAGAAAAAAAGATAAGTTTCCAGTTTAACTCACAATTTCAAAATCAAAATTCTGGATTGTAGTGCATATTTTGTAAGTGTACTATTAGATTTTGGATGCTCTAAACGAATCATTCTGTAAGATTAATTTGATTGTGGATTCCTAACATCATACACCTCTTCAGTCATTGGGAATTATATCAGAAATAAGTCTAATTTGCAATT